TTCCTGTGAGACTTCGGAGCTCGGCAGCGGGCTCGACTGTAGGCTCGCAGGCCTGCAGTCGCTCCCCAACGGACACACGAAGTAAAAGACGATCACGGAAAGACGAGAAAGGAGATCGCGGCAACTCGAGTAAGAGCGAGAGGAAATAGGATCCGAGCCTCTTTTTCCAGGGGATGAAGCAGGGTACAAGCTAATGGGAAGAGGAACAGGTAAGTCACAGGAATGAGCGGTCGAGAACGGCGATCAGAACAGAATGGACTGCGGATAGTCTTCGAATTCAGTTGGTGCGCGAAAAAAGTCGAGGTGAATTGGCGATTCCCGGGGGGGAAATTGCAATGTTTTCGAAAACAGCATCGCGGAGCAGAAACGACAGCTTCTCCTCAGAATCGAGCACGTCCGCGTTTCTACAGGGTGTGAGGAGGAGTCTGGAACTGCGGAATGTTCGTGAAATACACAATATCGCCTGGTCTCTCTGTCCACCCGGAGCTCCATCCATCCACTCATCCATCGATCGATCGGCCCATCCATTCGCCTTCCGGTCGTTTGCCGAGTGGATAGAGAGCACGCTCTGCATTCTGAAATAGCGCTCACGGCTCGACAGAGGCACCGAGGAGAATTTTGAATCGACCTCGTTCTTATACAGCCTTGAGTTGCTGCTGCAGAGCTGTCGAACACGTCGTCGGAAACATGTCCGAGACCCTCGGACCGAGAAGACGAGAGAAGAAGCGGAGGAGTTCTCAGATGCTGGGATCATGCCGGAACACATTCACCTTCCCTGAGGAACAATATACGGGTGATTCATCTAGGCCAAAAGCTGCAATTCTGCGGCAACAGTTCGAGCGAGGCGCCCGCGACCACACCCAATGGCGTCATCTCGGGTCCATTGTACATATCCATCCACTGGATCTTCAGGACGGGCTAGACAGATTCTCATCCATGACGCAATGCAATGGAGATTTCATTTGTTCGGGTTCCGACCTCTCTGTTTGCATTTGATTCTTCCGTTGCATTGGGAGATTCCTGGACGACAGCGCTCTGACGAGCAGCAAGTCGAGGAAAGCTTCGATTGATAGGAATTATCCGTACGCATCGATTCGCCCCCAAATATATCGGGAGGCTCTGAGCTCATAACAGAGGCAGGGAGCGGGATCAAGTTAGACAGAGGGAGAGATGACGAGAATTACTTCCCACGAGAAGCCGTAAGTACGCTTTGGGGACTCCATGAGGACGTAAACCAGGAATGTACATATGAAGCTGTATGCCGCCAACGCTACAATGATGCAGCAGTGGCTCAACCGAACTACAGCAAGAGCTTCAACAGAGACCGGAATAGAGCTCCGTTCAACTGCAAACACTCCAAAAATGTAACACGAAAGCGAGATCTTCCCTCGGCTGACGCTAGCTGACGGTGTCGATAAAGCCGGAAGAGGACAGATATTGAAATTCTACTACCACCGAGCACCGAGGTGCGCTGCGGAATCCTGCTTCAGAGCGTGTGGGCGTCGGATATATCGTTATGAGAAATCGGTTCGCGACTTCAAAGCAGTTGGTAGAGAGAGGTGGCTGACGATCTCAGTTTCTTGTAACCGAAATCCAGCTGGGTGGATGGATACTATTCTCCCGGAGAGCCCCATCCGCGTGATCTGAAGAGATATCGGTGGTTTCTCCCGAAGATGATCGACTCCGAGAGGACCGGAATGGATGATTCACACGAGACAGACTCGTAGGCGGATGAAGCTCGGCAAGAGAGAGATCGCTCAGATAGCCCTTGCTTCCCGGAGAACTCCGCAAATATGTAATTCATATTTCATCGTCTAAACACACTATAACGTGCTCCGGACACCCGAAACAAATGGCTCGCGGGACTACTATTGGATTAGACAGCTGATTTTTATTCGGTGTGCTCCGGCAACGGAAATATTACCATTTATCTCATTCAGGAACGACCGCAGCCGCCTTCTTCGTGTCGAGCCTCTTCTTTCGCCGGCCAAACCCTCGCCAGAGATCACGGCGACTCTGCTCTTCTGGGCTGCGATCCGGTGATAGTCCAGGTTCCGGATTATCCTGACGGAGAGAAGAATGTAGAGTGTTTGCAAAAGTTTCCTTCTCCCTGCTGGATCGAGCGGCGACTTGTGAACTGCGATTGCGTCGCAGCTTCCGGAATTATTCTCGAATGAAGTCGCTCCAAGACGGTATTTTCCGAAAACGAGCGAGCAGAAGGAAAGCATCCGTTTCCCCGAATTTTATTCCTGCACATATTTCACCCGATGTGCGCCGGACTGAAAGTGAGCTTCGGAACGCAGCTCGCGAGAGACCTTGGAATTTTTCTCCAAGGTGTCCTTCCCGTGAGGAGATTTGGAGCACTTTGTTGTCGGCCTCATTCCCTCGCCGGGGCTCAAACTAAGCTAAGGCTTGCGCACTCCGTTGCGCCTCTCTTCCCCACAGCGCATCTTTAGCCGAGCGTGAATTTCGGCCAGCATAGCTCTCCACGAGAAATTACGTCCTCGCAAAGTCGTCCATGGAGATACCTTGCGCGACAAATACCCTTTCAGCTATTCCGAATACGAGGCGACGAGCAAGAGGCCACCATCTGCTGGAGTCGCATGCATAGGGCGGCTCGTGCGGCTCGCGAGGAATAGGTCGAGGTCGACGATCCCACTCCAGACTCGGCAGGGCCAGGGGGACCTGGGCTTGCTCGCTGCTCTTGCATCCTGAGAATTTCGATACACGACTCCCTCATTTTCCCCAATTCACACGGTCGCCGATACCGGGCGATCATTTTCCTGCTGTGAACAAGAATCCCGAAGGATGTCAAGCATCACACCTCGGAGAATCTTGACAGTTGGCCCGAATATCCCAAGGCTAGAGATGCTTCGTCGAGTCGAGTTCGGTTGCGAGACCCCAGAATCAGGGAAGAGGCACCAACCGGAACACCACAGCCCTCTTCCATCATTGACAGGCATTGATGGCGTTTACAGATTACCCGCTCGTCTCCCCCCGGGACTCATCCTGAACCAATCGACCGGAAGAATCGGAAACCTAGAGAGGGCACCAGAGGCTAGTATGAGAGAAGATTGCACGATACTTCGAGACGTACCGAGCCGCTGATCTTGATCCTAGTTGTCACCTAGCGCTACGAGGATATCTGAGACGCGGATAAGTACCGCATCCCGCAGACGGCGGGGAGGATGAATGAATGAGCTTTTTAGTTCATGGAAGCGGTTCACCAGGTAGACCGCTTTCCCCCTCTTGTGGCACTCAGGACAAGTATTACACAATTGTTTTGTCGAACGCCTACTTGATCCGATAAGTTTTGTGAATTCATCTAAGAATCTGCCGGGAGGGAGCACTCGAATACTCCGGGGGACAGAGCCCCAAATGTCGAGAATTCGGTATAGAAGCGACCGGCGGCTGAAAGTACGTCGGGTTGACAGCGCGGCGTCTCGAACACTGTGTTGCGTCTGATCGAGCGGGAAACCTGGGCCATAAGGGGGGCAGTGTGTCGCTCGGAACGATGGAACGCGCGACCTTTAACGCCAGATGGGTAACGGCGATCCTACGAATGTCACTATCCCCACAAGTATCTAGAACATCGAAACTTTTACGGACTGATTTATGAATGATCCTTCGGTAGGCATAGCGGGTGATTCGGGAGAAAGACTATTTGGATCGGGCTCAACTCCGAAAATCTGCGGACAGCCATTGGGGTTCTCCCACTCCACAAGAGGCAGGGCCTGTCTAATCGCTCCATTCCATCGCCGGAGCGTGGAGAGGAGGCTAGTAGGCTAAGCAGTCAGATAAAGACCGATCAACGATAAGGTTGATAATTAGGACTGTCCGATCAACTCGTCGAAGGATCAATGAAACCATGAACCATGATGATGAATATGATAATGATAGGTATGAGTGGCTTTCCCATTTGGTCTATGAGAGGACCATCAGTCGTCCTGAAGATTATGCATTCTCTCGCACGTCATTTCCGCAAGCATATTCTCCCGATTTTGTGCGTTCGCATTTCCCACCCCTCTGATGAAGAAGCGATAAGGAAATGATATGAATGGAGAGAGTCTCCTGAGCAACGAAACTACATTCGCTATCCCGGCTCGGATTCGAACATGGAGGATCGGAGTGACCGCGATCGGTCTCGTCAGAGCTGGCATTGATCAGAGTCACGATTATGCTAACACCAAAGAGACGTCTTTGCCAATCCAGAACTGCAGTGATACGTCGAGTATCGGCCTGTCTGACGCGCGCTATTAGGCACGGATACTCAGCGAGCGAGCCTCACAGAAGAGAGGAAATTCATCTTCGCTCCCGGGCCAATATTCAACTTGGTGTCTCTCAAGAAGCAAATAGGCGTTAGTTTGGAAGCAGGGACGCGGGTGCCTGATCCCAGTCAAGACGGCCGGCGCGTCAGGCACTGAGCATTCTAGCGGATTTAGTCGAAGTGCATCTCAGAGTCTCACGGGACATCGAGGAAACTGGGAGTTCATCTCAATCATTCCGATCAGGGACAATCCAGTTCCGCTGATCTAAGAGGATGTCGATCAGAATGAGCGCGTGGCGAATGTTCTACTTGTGCTATTAATTAGACCCTTGGCACTGGCGGGCATCTCTCAGATCCGCCTCCAAGGTCTCTCGTGTCAGCAGTTTTCTCTCGCGAGCTGTGCATGGGAAAGTCGTTGTCGGGGATAACTTCCACCGCTCTGATTGTTAATCAGGGTCGCGATGAGTTTCAAACGCACTTCATCTTTCCCCGAGAATACACGCAGCTGAGGGTTGCTTGCGCGTATTTCGCCGAATTTCCGATCAAAAAAGAGGTTGAACGCTCAGCGGAAATAGTAAGATCGAGACGAGCCCGAGTGCCCGCGAGTGATTCCAGGCCCTTCCCTCTACCGTGAGGTAAGGATTCTCCGTGACTAATCGTGAGTCAAGAGTTGACTTCTGCTACCGATCAAGGTACACTGTACTTCCCCATCATTATTCCGGCACAGTGATAAAAGGCCTTCCCGAGTCGGATCGAAGGCTCTGCCGCTCCGCTTGACTCTGGACCGTCCAGGTAGGCGAGTCTCGGGATCTTCTTGATTTAGAATTTTTCCACGACTCCCGCTTTCAGCGATAGAACTCATTGTTCTAGACTAGACAGCCATAATGGTGAAATAGCGCTAGACACAGACACCGAATGAGAGAGATGATCCGAACGCTGTGCGCATGCGTCTCGCCCACCTTTCAGCCCTCCGACCAAAAAGGCTAGACGACGTCTTGGTGGTTGAGCCCAGCTTTATTATTGTGGCTTTGCTTGTCTGCGTGAGAAAATTATATTACTGTTCCATTCTGTATCGGAGCTGTTCTAGGACCCATCAAGATATTCGCCGTGACGATGTCTGGTGGAAAAGGAGGAGCCTGTAATGGGTGTGCGAACCTGCTGGATTTCAACAAAACCGCCAAAATCCGAAAGGTAAAATCAGCGCGGAGGAGCTCTACTCTCTTCTTCTCCATATAGTGGTGTTAGAAGTCTTGTTCCATGAGCAGCTGTATGATCACGGCTCGTTCACATAATTCCTAAACTTGCTTCGGAAGTAATCTGCGCGACCACAAGAGTTGTATCGCGCTTCTTCCTGCAGTGGTGAAAGTCAATCGGTGACGATTTCTCTTTTCTTCACCAAATCGGCTGTCTGGGTCGCGCGTGTCCACATACGGATTCGCGTGTAGGTTGACACTGTTCGAAGCGGATTATGAAAAGAGTTTCTTTTTACTTGAATGGATCGTGGAAGCTCTTCCGACATATGTTCGAAAAACCTTATTGTGAACGTCGAACCCATTCTGTTACGAGTTCACGGGAGCTATGACTCCGGGGAGACGAGTAGCTTCGCCAGAGATATAAAGTGAACTCCGCTAAATGGGAACACATCGTGCCGATTTTATCCGGCTAAGCGAAAGACCCGATTATCCGGAGCCTCAATCGATGGAGCCCAATTCATCGGGACTCTTCGGGAGCAATCCGATTGAGCGGAGGATCCCATCGACCGGAATTTCCGATGAGAGCGGAGTTCACTGTACGTATCTAGAGCTGCGAGTAAATGGACAACGCGAGCATCACGGGCGGCTTGGAGAAGAGTCAGCGAATGGAACTCGGAGAATTCTGCTTATACCTATCCGCTAATGGAAGCGCTTGGATACTTTCGAAAGTGGACTCGATCCGATTTTTGCTGATGTCGCTGCGGAAAATTCAGATGATCAGCGGACCTGCCCTGGCTTCCTCAGGGTCAGAGTTGATATATGAGACATCCGATATCAGTTGACACCGATCCGAAGCAGTCCCAACAATGACTCTATGAGGAGCTGCTGACGTCCGCACCAGAGTCATCGGAATTGGATTCCGGGCCCTGAGAGGGAGTCTGCCATGGCCTCTATGTTCTGTGCGACAGGATCCAGAGAATACGTGAATTTGAATCACCGGTAGAGGTGTCCAGAGCTCCCCATCCCGCTCCGAATATCTTACCTGCCCCAAAGCAGACGGTGATTGGGCAGGAGCTCTCTCTCGGGGCTCTGATAGCATCGTACGCTGCATGAAGGAAAAGGCCGCCCACCTCTCTGAGAACTCCTTAGCTCCGGGTCGGGAGCGTTGTCGAGGGTGAAGCTAAGTGGACTAGAAACATCGGACTAGAAATCCGATCGAAATGCATTGGGATGCACTCAGGGACGGTAGGCAGCATTTGAGCGACTTCTCGTAGTGATGAGAAATTGTTGATGTGTCCGTGATCCTCAACCGCACAATATTAGGCCAAATGGTCGATCTTCAGCTGAGTCTCAGATACCGACCCGAGATGAAATTGGCTTGGATGAATTTAGAGGATACTAATTAAGCTTGTGGCTTAGACAGCGATCCGGGTGGAATTGGCCCGCCGAGGCCTCTGCGCGACAAACAAGGGATTCGCTCCCTCAACGCGGGCCTTCCGCTGCGCCGGAGGAAAAAAATATTCGATCTGCGACTCTTCCGGCTCGTTCTGAGAGCTCCCGGCAATACGGAAACGAACATAAACATTCACGGAGTGCTTAGGAAACGAATGTGAAGCGGCGCTGGTCAGTGGTGAGAGCGATGAGTCATCGTGAAGAGCGTTGAGCAGCGCACCGATGCAACGATATCCTCTCCCGAAGATGACCGTGACAGGCATCGGCCTCGGACAGTATTCTGTATGACGGCGGGAGAACGTCGCTTGGAAATTTTCTTTCCAGACGCTGCTCCAAGGCTCGCGTTGAAAAGTGGATGTCCCCTCAAAGTTCGCAGGCACCAACCTCTGTTGACGGAAGGTGGTGCAAGCAAGCGTACATTCCGCCGCGTCAACAAAATCATCTGGGTTGATGAGTGATAGTGGTCCGATTCGGAGAATCACTCATTCGAAGATTTCGGGCGCCACTCTTCAAGAAAGAGAAAGCGTCTACTGGCTGTATCCAGTGGAGTCGAGGAGTATTGTTGGTGGCCAGTGGAAAGACCACCCAAACAAGGAATAACCCTGCCCTTCGAGAGTACTCCGAGAAACCGCTAGCGGCTGACGCTTCCAAAGGGGCTGTGCGTAATCCTGAACGAATCGAAAAACTAGTCGGATTGGAGCTAGTTCGCTTCAGGGAGCTCCAGCATCGATTAGTTTGACCATCACAGTGACAAAGCTCAGGATGATTGGAACCCTGAGACGTCGTTCACATGTTCGTATTCTCGCATTTCCTTTTCGTTTGTCCGCTATCTCACAGCACCCAGTGTAACACCTTCAGAGCGAGTCCCCGACGGTCCATTAATTCAATTTTGGTTCCCTCTCGGCTTCAGTTTGAGGTCAGGTGAAAACATGAGCTCGCGGTCACGATAAGCGCATACGAGTGTGAGCTTCTCTCTTTGTGGGCTCTAGTAAGTCGGGGGGGATATTCATTCTTGCTCCCGTGGAGCAACAAAAATCAGATTGGATCGGATCGCGCGGATGATCTCTCCCGGGACCAGAATCAGATCTGGTGGTCAGAAGTTCGACAGAGGATCCCCCTGCTAACACTAAGCTCTACCGAAAACACTTCATCCCGGAGCTTTCCCTGCAAGCCTATCCACAGTCCTACGTTATCGAAAAATGACTGTCTTCCTTGGATAAACGTCGACTGATATCCCTAAACGTGAATTCTGGATCCAAGGAATATACCGATCTGGATGCTGGAATTCGCGTCTCGAACGGCCGGCTCGCCGCTCCGGATGCGGCGACAGAACTGCACTGGTTACGGGATGCGCTGTCAACAGGAGAATCAAAGATCAACAAATCGTTTATGGAACGTTAAATCCTAATCTAACAGAGCACTCGTGCGGCTTACCTGTCGATTGACCGTTTGGTCACACCAAACAGACGAACCATCCCATCGAGTCACTCGGGGCATAACTTTCCCAGTGTACACTCGCTCCGGTCCATATTTAGAACTCGTCCATGAAGGAGTCAGTCGAGTCGATTCTAGCCGAGCTCGTGATGAACGATTCCTGGTCCTTTCCGCAGGTGATCGACGATGCTCGCGAGAAGGGATCCACGGAGATCGATCTCAAGGAAAAGAATATCCACCGCTTTGAAGAGATTCCAGGTTGGTGTGAGATTGGATAGGACTGGAGTAGGGATGAGTTGCCGCATGATCGCTCTGCAGTGAATTGACTCTTGAACGGGACTTTCGGCAGGAATCTTCAACATGGAATGGATTACGGGGCTATCCCTAGCCCACAACAACTTGAAAACGGTGCCAGCTTCTATATCGAACCTCTATAATTTGGAATACCTCAACATGTACAACAATCACCTGGAAGAGCTCCCTTCGACAATCAGCACTCTGCCGAAGCTGAAAATACTCATACTGGCGATGAACAGGTAGGGCTTCGACTTTTCCCAAGACGGATATTTTCGGGAGCTCGCATGTGTCTGTACAAAGGCCGCAATCGCGAGTCTGAAGCACGAATGATTCCGGGAGGCTGTCAATCGATGGAAGTACAGCGAATGTTCATGCTCTCCTCAGATTATCCGTTTTGCCCCGCGGATTCGGCGGCTTCGCCGTCCTGGAAGTCCTCGATTTGTCCTACAATAACTTGAATGAGGCATCGTTGCCGAATAACTTTTGGAGCATGACGACCTTGCGAGCCCTCTATCTGAGCGACAACGACTTCGAAACGATTCCTTCAGAGGTGAGTTCTCTCAGGATTGGACATCCCGCGGGTCGCGCTGCACCTCTGTTCTGTTCGAATTGGAATCTAAAACGTTTCTCTCCTCAAAGGTCGGAAACCTAACAGATATACAAATTCTCTCATTCCGTGAGAACGACGTCGTGAGTATTCCACGAGAAATCGGAAGTTTCGGCAGACTCCGTGAGCTTCATCTGCAGGGTACGTCTCGAGACAAGACTCAAGTTATTTCTTGGTGGGACGTCGGAAGGTTCTTTTTCCCTACGCAGAAATCGGCGAGAAACATAGCATTGTCTCAGAGATGGTGGATAAATTAAGCCTTGCCCCTCACCTCCAGGAAACCGATTGACCCTCATCCCTCCGGAGTTGGGTCAACTCGATTTGGTCACTCAGCGGTGTATAATCCGACTTGAGAACAATCCTTGGATACAGCCGATCGCGGATCAACTCGAAGTCGGGGTGAGTCCGAAGGCGGAACATCTTCCGCGAATTCGTTGGAATCGAGATCGGAGACCTTCCACCGCAATGGCAGCGACATTGTTATCCCTCTAACTCTCCGCTCGGAATTTCAGGTTTCACATGTGATTGATTTCATCCGCACCGATCAGTACCGCTACATTTACGAGAAGCAGCTCCAGCAAGGAACGACTGCTCCTCCCAAAACCAATGACAAATCAAAGAAAATCTCACGGAGAACAAGTTGAGCCCGGGAATGAGTTCCACATACATATGTTCCGAAAGTGCCTTCGTATTCAGCGTTGTCCTTCAATTTGTTGCACTCACTCTGGCATCACATCCACTGCTTGATTAAAACCGACTCACAAGACTGAGATGCCAAGGAAACGAGTCATTCAAGGCGCTAATTTCGGTGAGGGACCTGATTTTCTCCGGGAAGCCGAACTGTGCGTCCTGCTGTTATCCGAACCTATTTATGAACAGTGCCGCGCTGTATGTTCTATGGCGTCCGTTGTTCGAGGTGAATGGTTCTGTTCTTTGTATAGACGCAATGAGGTGTCTGAGACTCGCCATTGTTAATCCATTCTAACTGTAATTGTCGAGGAATTGAGAAGTAACGCAATCCATATCACAAACCATATCAGCTGGAGATGTTTATGGAGAACTTGATAGTTTAAGCATGTTAGCAAAATATGGGCAACATCAAGAGGAGAGGAATAAATCTCTGAGGATGCTGCGAGCGACAGCATGTGATCTATTATCTCTTCATCTTTCTCAATTTTTACTGCTAGCATGAGAGACAGAGTCGCGTGCCCCGTCAGACTCGCAGCTGACCATATTAGAAACACCCATGTTCCAAGTTCTGGTTCGATACCACTAGGACCGGCGAGAGCCGCTCCCAACCATAGATACAGCATATAATCATCTTCTGCTACCTTTGTTCAAAAATATTGCTTGCTCGCGGGACTCCGATCCCGAGTCGAGCATAACCTACGTATATTACAATATGAGACTTCATTCAGAATGAGAATCATCGACGTCTGTCAAATACTTTGTCGAGGATCAACAACTTCGTGTGAAGGAGGCACAAGGAGATCGAACACCTCACTGCAGCATCGTTCACAGCGACCGTATCCAAAATAATTTGCTCCCCATATATCAACCCTAACTTAACGTAGATCCATGCCAAGCTGTATGGATGATTCAGACTCCTGGGCGGATCTAGTCCCATTCCGACAACAATGATCAACGCGTAAGTACTGACATCTCATAAATTCGATAAGAGCATGGTGTGAACTGTCCTAGAGACTGCTGTTCTTGGCGTCCTGTCGAGCTTTGTCCAGGAGTTCCTTGGCTCCTTCTTTGAGCATTTCCGATGCGAGGTCTTCACCCAAGCGAATCGCCTGCTTCACGTCAGCGTCTTTGAGCTTTGAGCAATGTATACCCACGAGGCATTCACCCTGACCTCTGGAATAATGAATTCTCGCCTGAGAATCAGGAGCAGGTCTGGCACTACGCGAGCATTTTTCACCGAGGAACCGCAGCAATATCGACGGCCTGGGAACTCAATTATTGTTAGTGCTGGTAGCTCCCGCACTCACTTTTCACCACCGTCTTTGAAAAAAAGTTCCTTCGTTTTAATAATAGCTTGCTGTCCATCGAAGGCGAAAACTCCGCCTTCCAAATGGAGTGTGCGTCCTTCCATAGTCGAATAAACCCCCAACGGAACGCTGCAACCGCCTTCTAATGCTTTCATGAAGCTCCTTTCTGCCAGGCATCTGAAAACAGATACTGACTTTCATTCGGATCAAGCGAGGATCAGTGTTGAGCCAAGTAAGGGAGATTCGGCCTAAATGTCATACCTTAAGGCGGTGTCATTGTGGTTCAGGTCCCGGAGAAGTTCCGTTACAACAGCGTCGCTGGTGCGGCATTCGACAGCAATGGCACCTTGCCCGACGGCGTACAAACATTGATCAGGTGATAATTTCTCTGATATACGATCATTCCACCCCAAGCGTTTGAGACCAGCGACAGCGAGGACGAGGGCGTCATACACCTGGATGAGAAGTTGGTCATTTGCAGAGGCTTCGAGTATATGTGACTCTATGAACGTCAAATATGCCCAGTCTGTAGACAGAAAGTGCTCCATTTGACGTGAAAACGTGCGAGAGATCCCACCTTGTCATTATCGAGCTTCCGTAGGCGCGTGCTCAGGTTCCCTCGAACGGACTTGAATTCGAAATCAGAAAACTTCCGCCGTAATTGTGCGATGCGCCTCAAAGAGGATGTTCCGATCGTGGCCTGTAAGTCGAATATCGCAGATATCATCCGATTCGGGAGTTAAGGACTTGGCCGGCCTCAGCTAGAGCTGAGTGATTCGGGGAGGAAGTCGTTCGTACCCCATCATCAAGATCGGACAGACTCCTCGCTGTGCTGTTGGCCGGGAAAACGACCGCATCTTCCGGCTCCTCACGCTCGAGAATCGCGCCTGTCAACGATAACAGTCAACGGGATTGTGATTCATTCACTTGAACTAAAGGAATGATTATAGAATAATGAGTAATAATAGATCCTCCCCAGGAACGTGACATTCCTGTTCCAGTATCGAACGGAGCCTCACCGATCGAGAGTCCGTCTGGTAGAGTTGTCGGTAAATCCTTCAGGGAGTGAACAACCAGGTCGACCTCTTCTGCGGTGAGCGCGTTCTCCAACTCTCGGGTGAAGAGAGACTTTTCCCCTAATGGAGCATTCGGGAGGGAATTCCGTTAGACTAGAGGATATGAGCGCAATATTTGGACAGTCTGTCTCATGGCTGGCGCTGTTTCCTCATTGGAATCGCGTTGAGGAATCTTCCGGGAAGCGTTTCCCGTTCTATCGATGGTCCAGAAGGCTCAATGGGAGACGCTCCGGGGCAGGAGACATCACGGAAACGAGAGACTACGCGCCATAAATCAACAACTCTAGGATTCCGTCTTTCACGGATCCTAAGTATGTTCATGGCCCGAAAGAAGCCCTATATCGAAACAAGGACGATAAATTCACCAATTTTGGAGAGCGTTTTGTTGAGTATTTCATCCCCTTTCGTTTTCATGGAGACGATTTCCCATTCGTACGATGGATGGAGTTCTTTCAATTTCTCGACGACAAGCTCTGTCTGAGCCATGGCGAGGGCGGATTCACGAGTGCCAATCCTGAGTTTGAGACATGGTTTCGTCATCGCGAGGTTTCTGTGCCGCCTCAGATCTCGCGGATGAGCACTGAAAAAAAGGGAAATCAGAAAAAGCATCAGAGGCAGGTCTCCGCGGAAAGTGAACGTCTGAGCGAGAGACCACGCAAAAATCTCTGTGATTAGACAGATCTCTGGATCGCTTCCGAGCACTGATAGTGTCGATAGCATTGCCGCTCCCCACCGGCATCCAAGGAGGATATTCTCATCCTGCTAGAGGATCTGAATTAGAGCGAGGCGTGACGACGAGAGAGCCATGTTGTGAGCTCGATTCCCACACCGCTTCGAAAACCATGAATGATCCAGACAAGGTCCTGTCTCAGATCGTCAAGTTTCCTAGGTGGACACAACCGCTCTGCGGATACGTGGGCTGGATGGTGTTTACATCCGTTATCTGACTCGACAGATGTTCCTCGCGACACAGCGGACCCGAGATGAGCACGGGCTGGAAAACGCAATCGCCTGCGGATCCAGAGACACTCGAGCCCATCTGAACCTCGTTCCGGCCGCGAGCCGCCTCTCTGCTCCCCACAATTTCCTCGAGTGAGAATAGGGAGTATCGTAAAGCCTCGGCGAGTCTCCGGAAACGAGCGAATCCGGAGAACGAGTGAAGAAAATGAAAAATGGGCCTTGCCGGATTCGATCCGAGGCCCTCGCGGATTCGCGCATCGCGCGAACGTCGGTGAGGTTCTCAGGATGTTTGTGATCCGCTACTAGACCACGCATCCAGCAGCAGCTCTCCCTACAGATACGCGAGACTCTAAGGTTCAAAGCCGAGTGATGTGCACTGAGCTGATAGATATCAGCGGTCCTTCTCCGGCAGAGCCCCGCACGCTACAAGCTGCTGGGGTGCCGCGGGAAACTCCATTTCCGGAGTCGGACTGAGGATACGACAGACTGACAGGTACCTAGATGGATCACTGACTCCGTAGTAGGTGGTCGTTGCTGAAAACTGCAACGACAACGCGATGCATCTACGTAAGGGACCACGAATCGAACACTTCTTCTGCTCCCTGCTCCAGACGTTAGATCACGAAGAGCTAATCCTCTTCGAGAGGGAGACGCTAGAGAGGATGGAGAAGTTTCGAGTGCGGTGAATGGGAAGGGTATTTGGGAATCGCGGCGAGCGCGATTCCCATTGCGGCTGCTCCCAGCTAATCTGCTGCGCGTATTTTGCGAGGATTTGTCGAGAGCGCTCAGCTGCGATTTTTCTGTTTTCCTCATTCGTATGCCACGACTCGGAGTTCTCGCAGGCCATCATCTCCAACGAACCTTTTCCTCTTAGGGCGGCGGCTTTTATTTTTCATAAACAGGCACACATTTCTCGAGAGTCGCTTATCACAATCACTCGAACGGGATGCCCTCCAAACTCGGAGAAACCGGGTTTCGAGTAGAGACGTCTCTCGCCACTACCAGACACGTGTGTAATCAAAACCTAGACCGGGCCTGCTTACAGAGCCTGTGTCTCGGCGACTCGGCGATATATTCGGGGAGAGGGCAAACGTACCACAGCATGTAGCATACTGCTTGATTAGATCTCTAGGAGCCAATGGGATCCACGAAAAAACCTCAACTCCTTAGCTCCCTCGATGAGCGAGAAGGTGTGATTTGCGTCAGTAATGATTCTCTATCGGGACGCAGGCATTATTAGGTTCGGGATACGGACGCATCGTATTCGATGAGGCCATTCTTCAGAATATATCGGAGCACCGCTGTGCAAGCGGAAAACTAGCGTACGCAGATAAAGGCGGAACAGGTCCGACCGGTATCATTCGGAAACGATACAGGCGCCACGCCACGTTTAAGTTGTTACGCTTGTCAACGGATATACCGGTCGAGATTGCCTATCAATAAAATCCAAGCGACACATCTGAGTCACTTATCGTCCTGGATTTGCAAGGGGTCCATGCCCGAGGGTTTTTGCATTCCCTGCGAATCAGCAGCCCGGAATATTGACTCGGCAACACTCGATGCGGATCAGAGCTGACTTAGCGGAAAATGAAAATAATTCCGCCCATGATGTGTGCATGCATTCCACGTTCGAACGAAACTTCGCTGTACATGAATTTCCCCGAGTTCGAATGCGGCGCGGCCCTTGTCGAGCTTCATTGAGCTGTCATGCATCAACCGATGGGAATCAGGATTCTTGAGGAGTCCCTCGATGTGATTTCTCCATCCTTGGAGAACGATAATTAATCCATCGCAACATCGATGCTCCGCGCGGAAAGCAGCTGCGCGAAACACTTGCGTGTTCGTGGGTCTCCCACATGATCATTCGTGGGAGAGAGTTCGACCGACTCATTCGCGGCTATCTAAACAAGAAAAGCGAGTGACACGCTCGACGCTGTTTCTCCAGAACTACTACGGCATGCTTCGATTATTTTCCGCCTCGATGACTTTGGAGAATCGTAGCCGAAATGATCATGATTGTATCGTGAATTGCTCGGCAGGAAAATGACGGAAGTCTCTATCGGGCGTCGAGATTCATATACCCGTCTGGAGGAAAACCAAGATACACGGACATCCCGCTTAGATAAGACGCCGGTCGCACTAGATCCGAGCCTACGCGACATCCATGGAGAGCCAGCCATAGGCGCAGCTGCTCTCCCTGGCGAGAGTCTCTCGATGTCTTGCACCCGTCTCGACGGAGAAGGTGGATCCACATCGATGGAAGAGGCTAGCGAGATAAAAGCGTCGAAAGAGATCACGATCACGTCGGTCCTACAATAGGGAGGAAACCCCGAGTTCCCCGGTGAGGAACTCGCTCCATCCGCGTGGGCCCTCCTCGTGCCCGGTAGAGCGGACGATGAATTCGCCTCCGCGACGTGACACATTTGTTGTTGTTGTTGATGGCGAGGGTAACCAGATGGCGAGGGGTTCTCCGGCTGCCATCACAGCATCCAACGGACTGTGGCGGTTGAGTTTGTGTTTGTGCGGTGGCTTGTTTCACAATCAGTGAAACTTCAACTCGTTCCCCATGACAGATATGTAGGAACCGGTGACTATTTATTAAAGGTATGACTTCGGGCCAACCTAATTCCGTGCTCGAGCTTATAGTGACGGTGCAGGGCAACTCCTAGGTACACAATTCTGAGCTTCTCGTTTTGCGCCCACCCGATTGTGACTGATTGGGGACGAACATCCGGAAGACAACCCTCAGGAATTTGAAGGATTAGTCTATCGAAGCAGGAGCTGTCGGGGAAACACTATGGGGCCGTTGGAATCAGTTTTTCGCCGAACTCCGAGCTCGAACATGCCAGACATGTTGAATTGTGTCACCGGCGACGGTGCTCGGCGTAGAATGCCGGGAGGAACGATCTTCCTTCCAGAGATAAGGATTGAGGCATGCCGAGGCGATCAGATGAATTTCGAGGGAAATTATGTTCTTCCGGATTCACGTGCGGGCATGCGGACGCAAAGAGTTCATGGAAGTCCACTGAGTCTTCCTCGAGGACTCGAGCGTGGCTCAAGAAGAGCGAGAGCGAAAACGCGGGACTCGATATCCACAGCTGACGTAGACGGAGAGATGACGCGAGAGAACATTCTTTCCGAGAGGTTCCCCGATCTAAAACCTTGCCTTGAGTTGATTCTGACCGCCTTGCCGTGGATTTCCTTGCTTCGGACCGAAAAAATGGGATGAATCCGATCAGTACCGCAATTCACCTATCTACGCAATGGCCTGAATTGACTGCTTCTTTCGAAGTCTCTCACGACTATACTTTCTGTGCTTTTCTCATCCCATACAATACGGCTATGTCCACACTGCACACCAATCATCCTGAGCTTCGATTCCAAACGCGCCGCGAGGTTTCGCCGGATCGGCTTGATATATCTCTGTGCATTGGGCGGCGACCCCTGTTTCCCTGCCGTACGGGGATGATTGTCGGGGGGCTCGATCGGGAAAGTCGAAGGTCTGAGACTCCCTCCAAAAAATCCGCCGAATCTAGACGAAAATATGCGCCGCTGACGCAACAAAAAAATATATACATCCGGCTCGTCGTAAGATGTGCAGCTGACTTCTCCCATGGACACTGACCAAAGGAGAATATTTGCACGCCTCGATCCAGTGTCGACTGCTATGTACGATTCTTTATCGGTGGGGGTTCGTTTCGAATCGTCATGAGGTCTTACGGACTGTTTTCGTCGCAGATGCCGGCGGTGGCAAAGAGGTCTGCGCCTCTCAGAGGCAAACTAGTCTTCCTCGATACAAAGGCTCCAGTATTGAAACTACGGGAGCAGCTGGAGGTGTTAGGTGCTCGAGTGGAAACCTTCTTCAGCAAGGACATCTGGTGCGTCATCACCGACAAGCAGGTCGATGAAGCGAACAAGAGACTCTTGTCTCTAGCGGCTACTTCGACGAAAGTGAGTAGTAGCTATAGCCGGGATCGATCGGAGTATGGAACGAACGCGAGAGTCACATTCGTCATGGACATCCAGTTCCAGTTGAATTTGGTTCCTCGTGACGTGAATACAGTGGTTCCGGCGATCGATTAGAGTTCTACCCTTCTTTTAGCAACGGACACCATTCCTGAACCGGACGCAAGTTCTGTTGCAAGCCGCTCAGCAAAAGGAAGCGAGGAAGAAGGCCGATGAGTCGCAAACGGTCGTGCAAGAATGCAAACAATGGGACATCCCTATGCTGTCGATCAGAACGGCTTCGACGAGCGTATCGAAGTTGATGAAGAAATATCAGCCCGCGAACGAGCCCAGTTCCCTCAAAAGGGTGAGAGCACCAGTTTGACTTCATTCAAGGGAAGGAGAATGCGGGAAACTTGTAAACCTCTGTGAACAAACGATTGCTTGAATCATCTGCTTGATGAGCTTCTCTCCACGCAGTCATCGACGAGCAATACCCTGCGGAAAGTTGTAAGCGAGTCCCACCTTGGCAAATCAACGCGACTCGAAGGTCATGAAATACTCAAAATCGAAGACCGGCGCCAACAATATAAACCGCTCTACAAAATATTCAAGGTGAGAATTTGATTGTCTTTCAGTTAACGGGCTTTGAGCTCTTGATTCTCTCCTCTCAGAGCACGCGAACGGGAGCGGATTCTCCGCCGGAGATCGGGCGCAGACCTGCTGAAAATTCCGCGGCTGGAGCAGGACTTGAAGCAATGCTTCTGGGAATGCTTATGGGAAGTCGATATGGGGGCCTCGAGCCATGCGGACTCGAAGAGTTCGCCGACGTCCGCTCCGGACCGCTCTGAAATCTGACCCCTTTTCTCGAGACATGCACGATACGCACGAAGGGCCCCGAAGCTCGAGGGTCGGTCGTCGGGGTGCAGGTTCTTCGGGGATTTTACGTAAATCTGGCGATTACCGACAACACATTGGTCGCTGAGGGACATTTATTCCGCAGGAAGATACTTATCCCAGAGTCAGAGTTATGCAAACCCCATCGGGTCGAGGCGTACTCATCAGTCCGTTTGCTGAAGAAAAAGATCAGATAGCTCAGAGAGAGAGCTTAAGCGAGTCCAGGAGAAATCGAGTTGACACCGCTAAGGCGACAACAACAGTCGATTCAAGTACGTATCGATCTCGATTCCGATCCATGTTCTGAAAGTATTTGTCCCAGTCGTTTTTGAGACTTTCGCCCCAAAAGGCTCGATACTCTCCAAGTATCCACTCTGATCGATTCAAAGAGCGGCTGTGAATATTTTTCAGGACAAAAGTCGCGCAAAAGGAATGCGGAGTCGAAACAAGCGGAATCGAAGTCGAAGTATTGTGAAATCTGTCATGAATATTTCTCGAACCTCAGAAGTCATCTGAGCTCTCCGGGTCATGTTCGCGCCTCGTCGGATTCTTCTAGGGACCTACAGAAATTCATCGGGGAATTCCAGAACGATTTTCTCGAGGTGATGGTTGCAGCCGATTTGATGAATTCATCACCACATGTATTTTCTATAACTCCATCAACCCGTTCCCGAAAGAGCTCGACTCGAATAATGAATCGTTTCCTCCGCGATTTCCAGAACTCTGACAGTTTGACGGGCGGATCACCAAAGAATACAAGAACCGTGCTTAGGCTGGAAGTCAGTCCCAGTGTCGAAGTGTGAGACATCTTCATGGAGCTTTTTGCCAAAGCAGACTTGAGAATCGCAATTCATATTTGTTGCTAGGAATAACGCACGCATAATGCTGGACTTTCCGCGTCGCAAGTCATGCCCGCGGTCGCTTCAGTATCAAGCTCTTCTGGGCCAGCCGCGGTTGCGTAAACACCTGAGGGGTCCGGAATCATCTTATCACAAAAAGCCGTCGTTAGGTTCACGAGGTGGAAACTGTTACTGAGTGACCGAGGACTCCTGGGCTACCCAGAGATCGAAGGTTGCGCTTCGTCAATTTCAGGTCGCTCAAGTTTCGTCTGTGGAATCGCGAGACATCAGATTCATCATGTTGTAAATATTCAGAGTAACTCAATAAAAAGAGTTAATGATGTGAGAGGCAGACCAATCGTTGCGCTGAAACGGAATCGGGGGGTTCTCTTGGAAGTCGCTCGATCGGGGTGTGGGACACGCATAGCAGTGAGGACAAGATATCGCTTCCTTCGAATGCTATCATCCTTTTGATTTTTTCACTCAGTTGCCTCCCCACAGGAGTCAAGCGCGGTTGTCAGATTTATCTGCGCCGGTATTCGTCTCTGAAACCGAGATCAAACCGTATCTCTTCCCCCTGAGCCGGTAGAGATCCTCGCAGTTCGGAGATCGCGTCGGCGACGTGATTCATGCTGAGGCATAGCCCAAATAACGATCTGTCTCGCCCAGAGCTCGGAGCTGGCCCGATCTCAATGCTTTCAAGAACACCAATACTCCGCCGAACGTTCCCGACACTTCTCACGACGCCCAATGTCTGCGCAAAGCTGTTCCGGGACAAAGGCTGAAGAGGTGGCAAAATATGGACGTCTCCGAGCATGGTACATCCCTCCGCATCGCCGCTGCTCTCCCATGGAGATCTTTCCAGGGGTGTCAGATATGCCGACGTGCCGCCCCGCTCTCCTGTGCTGTATCGTGAGCACGGTAATAAGCCGTAGGGTCGCGCCGGATGCACCCGACCTTCGGGGCGCGTGCTTCAATTTTTCCACGAAAAACTTCGCGATCGCTCCCGAAAATCTCGCCGTGCGCACGAAAATTCAAAAAAGCGCGCCTCCTCGTCGGACAGCTGTCCCATCGTCGTCCATACGACTTTGTGACCGCCTTAGCTGTGGCACTGATAAGAAGTCTGTGTTTTTCCCTAACACCCCCGTGGAAGGCCGCGCTGTGCGGCGAATTCATGCTAGGGTGCTCCTCCGGCGATTTCCGATTGCTTCCAGCATCACGAGAATCTTCGAATCACCGCTGAATTCGCGCGCTCGCAGATTTTCATTCCGCCGTCCGTACTCTGTGGCTCCGACTTGGTGGGTGATGTGTGGTACGTTCGAGCCCCGAAACCAGTCACACACTCTGTTGCCAAATCGGGAGGACGTTAGTGACTGAATTTTTTTGTTTTCCGGCCATTCATCCGAGGAATCGCTGCTTGACACGCTTCCAGGCTCGTCATGGAAGCTGAGAAGGTGAGAAAAGTACGATAGTTGTCCCCGAACCCCTCGTTCGGCCAACGCACTAAAATATTAGAAATGGCGCGGTCAAACCGTTGTGAGATTGAAGACACAACAGATGTCAGCGAGCTTTGCAGCCCCGCTGCGATGTCAAGAATCGGTAGCAGGAGGTACTTTGGGTGTTCCCAGAAAGGATTGTACGAAATCACAATGTCACGCTGGCTCCGAGCCAGCGTGGGATCAAGAGGGACACCATTCTGACTCGTCACTTGGAAGACGTCTTCGATTTAGCTGACTGTCCTCTGTCGCTCTAGGCGATCCCCGCGTGGGAGCTCCGCGCGATTGCAGAAGCTGAGAAATCGCAACGCGCGTGTTGATTGTACAGATCCTGATTCTGGATTGGTCCGCTCCCGTCCGTTACGGGCAGGGTCAGAGCAACTGCGCTATTTTCGGAAGAAATCCTTGGGCCATCTCCATGCTCTGCCGTTCGTAGCTTGGCACGGCACAAGTTTTCCTTCCAACGTCTCGTTGTGCTGTAAACCGGCGGGGTACTTGTAAAAAGGCTCCGCACTTCAACGTTTCTTGAGTAGCGAATTCGTTCTGAAGCGCTATCTGGAAGCTTCTGGCAAATACTTTGGCAGCGAATATCATCGATCCATAAGCGCAAATCCAGGAAATAGATTAGATGCTTTCACATGTTGGCAAATAATCGTCGACTAGCGGAACTTGGCTGGATATCGAGAGACCGGCAATCGAAATCGATGCCGGCGTCGCGCGTCATTGGCGCTATATGAAGACGGTAATCGGACTTGGAACTCTGTTCAGACTCGATTGACTCTTTGACCCCCGATACGTATCGATGCGGAATTTGACACTGCGAAGACGTCGGCGTGCTAGGTTCAGTGGCGTGCACAAGTCTGAAATATTCATGAGGGATGGCTGTTGTGCCCGATTCAGGTGCTTTCGAGGAGCTCTCTTCAGGCCTTTCTTCTGTGTCGGCAAAGGCCGAACTCCCCTCCATCGATGCTGGCCACGTACGAGATAGCGGCGGAGGACGAGGGACGTCATTGTAGTTGAGGAGTCTGGCGCCCGTGGGCGTCCGAGGACTGCTGGGGAACTCTTCGGGGGGTTCAATGGGGCGCAATCGGAGTTTTCTGCGATGAAATTAACGCATTCATAACGTTCAACAGACGAACCTCGTCGACGCTGAGAAGCGTGAGGAAGCGAAGCTCATGCAGAAGTATCCTCAGCACATAAAACCGTCGAGCTTCCTACAGAAGAAACTCAATCGAGGGGTAGGTCATCGGAGCTTAACTATTCTGTGGATGGCTGGATCCACCCCTTCATTCATCCTATCATTGAGCCATCCCGGTGAATTTCAATCCTCATTCTAATCCAATTTCAGCAAAAATATTTCGACAGCGGGGACTATAATATGCAGAAGCAAGCCGGGGGTCGGAACCGACTGCTTGCGCACCCATCGCCCTTGGCACCGACACCTCAGTCGCCACAAGCTTCTCCGGTAAGTGAATCGTCATCACCCGGGCAGGATTCTTGGAGTCTATCGCCGATTAGTGTTAGATGAAGTTGAAGGCTTCTCCGCCTCAGCTGCATCCAACTTTTTGTTCATCAGAAATATCTTCCGTAAGGAAAATATGTCTCCGACGCATACCGTCATTCTCTGAACAACATGAAAGAATATGGTTACTCATTCCCTCCCTCTAGGCGGCACCGACTTTCCCGATACCAACGGTGGATAGCATTCATCTGCAGCAACGCAAGGCCTCAATTTCTCAGAGCAAACTGGCCGAGGAATCGGCTACACCCCACGTTCCCTTAGCCACACAAAACGAGCAGCTAGAGCAGAGCGCCGCTGCCGAATAAACATCTGCACATTTTATTCCTCCGCACCCGTTCTCCTTGCTCTGCCCGTCCCCGACGAAGTCAAAGACACTTTCTTCATTCGTCATCGTTGGATAGACTGTCGAGAGATTCCGTAGTCCACTCGAACAAATATGACAATGACTCGACCAAATCCCGATACCCCTTCCCCCGTCGAACCTGCATGCAAGCCTTGCACTCGAATCCGACGAGATGAGGTCCTGTGAGCTGCTGCGCGTTTCAATCAGACGACGAGATGATCCGATGGGATATGTGCCTCGACGGCACCCATGATGATGATGACGATGGCCGTGGAGTGTGAGGCCGTGGAGTGTGAGGCCGTGAATAGCGCCGGAGACGTAGACAGGGGCTGGCTCTGTTCCGTTAGAAAACATTCCAAAGTTCAGACCACATTTTCTGACGCAGCTCTGCCGTCCGTGTATTCGTCCCGGTGCGGTCGGACCAATAAAGTTCGAAGTCGACGTGAAAGAGACGGCAAGGGGAGAAAGCTCGTTAGAAGTCTTGCAGTTATTCATCGATCCATCCATATTTGGTGTGTAAATGTAAATAAATACTACAAAGGTGATCACCATTGTCATTGAGGAGGATGTTGCTCACTAAATGAGTCAGACTGTAATAAATGAATATTAAGTGATCAATCGCTTATTTCATTTCTCTCCATCTCGACCGGTTCAGAGTTTTCGCTCGGAGCTCGCATCTCCCACGCTTCGGAGCATATCCTCTAGGTTCAGGGCATAGGCTCACCGAGCGCTAGCCAGAAAGATCGTAGTCGATTATGGTGATACAATTCGGCCGCCATGCCGTATGGTTGAGGATTTCAGCTGGACGTGAGCTATGAATCCGACACGAGAAACTCTCATTCCATGAAGATCACACGAATGACTAATGATCCTGAGGTTCACGAGCCATCTCGATAAACATATATTCTCGAATCCTTCACCTTCACGCTCCACCGTACAAAGGGCGATTGAACGGGTCTGCACGAAACGCTTCGAAAGAAGTCCGAAAGTTTCCTTATCGATAGTCCAGCCTACCAAGAACCTAAACAAAGGCAGAATTCGCACCTCTAATCGAATGATGCGATGTTTAGCGAGAAGATCAGCCTCCGAGCAGAGGGTCTCTGGAGCGATACAGCAATGAGATCTTCCCGCAGCATGATGGAATCGCTTGTGGAGCTTGCTTCCGCTCGGTCCTGATTTCATCGATTGTTTCTCCGCATGTTTCCGATAGAGCCAAACCTCAATTTACGATTGTATCCGTGCGTGGGGAGTCTACCGAGATCGAGACTTGTGTGAATCGAATCGAGGCTCGTAATCGAAAGGCTGGTACGTATTAGAGATAACAAGCATGTTATCCTCTCAGACAGAAGAGTGATCGCGAGAATTACATCATGTGGTCAGATAATATCCTAGATTCATCATCATATGATGAGGATATACTTCGGTTCACTAGATCGAAATCTAGTTTGATCGTGATTGCCCGCGGGAAGCGCTCGGAAGCCCCACGGAGGATCACCCGGATCGACCAGTGATTTGCGGGGCAGATGCATCGCTTGGGCAGCTGACGGAATCCTCCGACTGCAACAGCGAGCTCCTCGCTCGTACGACTGGAACGTCGAGGGTCTTCATATGACGAATGCGTCTTGAAGTCAGCCCGGGCCTTCCTGCGGCTTCAGGAGGAGTGATAGGGGACAGGTAGTGATTTGGGACTTTTATTCACTAAACCCACTCTCTCTCGAAGCGGGTTCATGGTTTTCATTGATTTACACGATCCAGCAATACAATCCAATAAAGAAGATTCACACGATCAAGCATACCCCTTTGAATTCGGGGGCGGTTCCTCAGCACAGGTTTGTTCACGCGAAATTGGCACTTCCGATTCTCTATCGAAGCTGGCTGCTTTCTGCCGAATGGTCGACTATCGATGACTAATGGGGTTGTTTACAGACGAGATCTGACTCATCGAATGGTGTTCACTCGATTATCAAGCTTCCGACTCCGACTGTCGATCTCTGTCGGGGCAGCAAAGACTTCCAGCTCTATAAATCCGGATCTCTGAGGAAGAGCTGCCCGCGAGTTTTCGCCTCCGAGAAATTAAAAAAGAAATTCCTCATTTAGAGGAAGCCCGGAGGACGAAGTTCAGGACCCATTCCTCCCAGCTGAGGGTGAAGGAAATCAGAAAGCATTAATTCTGAGCCTGATATTCTCAATGAAGCTCAAGACCTACTTGAGTCAGGATGAGCAAGAAATCGTAAGTGGAGATCTATCTACAATGGACCGCCCGGAAGCGGAGACGAATGTAACCTAAACTTGGAGTGAGGATTTCAGCGACGTGTGACATCGGCCATCTCTGACACTCTGGCGTCGCATCGAGACTCTCGTCTGACGCGGGGTATCAGGAACACTGGGGAGATGGGCCGTACCTCCCATGAATATGAGGCTCAATGGCAGGGGGGATAAGATCGAGATCCACACCCCAGATGTCGGCATGCGGTCAGCCCCGAACTCCGATTTTCGGTCATGTGGGACTTGGAGAATTCAAGAGTTGCGAGAAAGAATTTTCGCTGCTGTTGCACCAGCCCTCTTGAACATATAGATAGTAGTAGATACATATTTCACTCTATATGATCATGAGTATGATTCGTGTGTAGGGACATTGATCTATTGCCCTATTCCCCGATATCGGAAATGCAAACGAGGACTGATCCGCCCCACGCAGAATCGGGAGTTCCGGATCGCCACCGTGGACGGCATCCAGAATCGTCGAAGATGCAAAGCTCTCCTAAGCGCTGCGATTCTCGACTAGGGGCCGAACCCGTCCAATCGTCAACTTTTGAAGGGAACGCACATCGATGTTCTCATATCGAACCTCGAATTCAGGTCCTTAGCATCGACGCCGACGTCAACACTCTCAGAGATGAGGGCCCTGAACCGCGTCAACAAGTGTTCCGAAAGATAGGGAACATAAGGTTTTCCGTTTTCCCCGCTTAATGTAAGTCCGGAACGAGATACTTCCTTCATCTCTCACTGAGCTCCGATAGCCGCCGGCGGTTTCCCCGGAGGGTGATTATCGGGCCATGCGTTAAAGATAGGAGTAGTGAGACTATGGCCTGCCTCCTGGAGCGTCAGCGCGATATCCTCGCCTCCATACTCTAACCATATTTGCTGATCTGATAGGAATCGCTGGAAAGCCGCGAGATATTATTGAAGCGTCATCTGCCGCTGATTCTCGGAGATTCGGACGTTCAATCTATGTGCTTCCGAAACCTTCGGGCCTCCCGATCTCGCTCACGCATGCTGCATCGTGTTCCAAGCCTTGCGCAAACCAATTTTTTCAGCTCCGACCAGGTCGCAATCGATTATTATCTATCGGGTCTTGGGCTCGTTGATGTTCGATTGACTAGTGCGGGTTAGTCCCCATAAGATGCTACTGACATCCAGCCTCCCAACGATCAGCAAACCGTGGGTTGATTTTACAGAATCCACGGATAGCTTTGAGGTCCGTGGTTCGAGCTTTGTGAGCCCACCTATGCAGGTGAAGAAGAGCCAAGGAAAATCGGTATTTCTGGAGTTCGAGCTGTATCTACTCGGTCGACAATCGCGCAATTGCTAAGGCGTATGGTTCGACATGAAAGCCTACCGAGCGCTCAACTGGGATACATGCGCGTATTGCCCGGAGCCGCGTCAGGATCGCGATAGTTGATCACAACCTTCCGATCCTATCGATTCGAGTGATTCTCAACCCTCGATTCCCGTCTACACTCGAGAGCCGACAAAGAAAATACGTTCGTGCGTCCGACCTACACTCGCACACCATGTGCTCGAGCTCAAAAGCTCTTGGGCACACAGATGGACCGCACGACGGGGGAGGGTTCGTACTTTGTAGAATCAACTAACGAGCCTTGTAAGATGAATAGATATCGACGCCAGCTGAGCATGCGTTCTAGCGGAAATCGCGTTCACGGTTTTAGGATCGCCGCTCGGAGCGCACTGCTGAAGCCGGGGCGGACTGCTTCCTCGAAATGACGCGACGCTTGATCGCTCATTTTTCACTCTTTCGTTCATCCAAGAATCGCACGGTCATCGCTCTCCGTCGGACGAGGCGTTTTCGGAGTGGTAGATGGTTTCTGCTCTGGAGCAATAGTTGATCAGCGTCTAGCTTTTCTGACCAATGCGCACTTAGTCCGAACCCAAGCACAGTGCCGTAGCTAGGGAGGCAAACCAGGCTTCTTGACCTGGGCGCAGGTTCCGGGAGGCGCAGTCTTCGACTGTTGCGACTAGAAGAATGGTCATTCCTGAAGTCGATTCCCGTCAAGCGACGCGACGCTGCTTAAATCGAATGGGTTTAGGAAAATACGGATACTCATGTGAAGAGAGCGCCAACTTGGTCAAGCAATGTTCGGTGGGGCCGAGGAAGCTCCCGATAAGGCGGCATATCTCAAATCCGCCCAGGGCGCCACACCAGCTGGCTTCACCACTGCCTATGCCATAAAAATGATCGTAGCTCATCCTCGACAATTCTAATGGTGATTGATGATTCTGGATAATTGAGTTGAGATAATAAGTTATTTGAAATCATAAGGGAAGGAAGAGAAACTCAATTCGTTCCGGGGAGTTCTCGTTCATTCTTCTCGTAGGTTGACTCTGGGTCGGATTGTGGCACTTCCTGATCACATCGATGGGGATTGTGGATGACATAACATGCGGAGAATGAGATACATGTGAAGAGAGTCCACAATCTCATTCAGGTGGTCCGCAAATGATTCTTGGGGGGCTTACTCCGAATCTGTGTTGGTCTGGATTAGTAGACGGAACCGTGCTAGACAAAATCTACTGAATAAATGATTCGCAGTCTCACATTGGGTGCCTCCGGATGGTGGGAGAAGCCCCCTCCATAAATTCTGTCAATGAGGATCCTGATCGTGGCCTCGATGAATAATTTTTCCTCCGGCTGTAATCGTAGGGAAACCTCACGGAGGGGCATTTTCTTCCTTGAGCTCATTTCTCACGAAAGGAGATCACGCTCTGGAATCGTTCTGATGCCTCAGATGCCGCATAGGATCCGGTTTTCGGTCCGGCTCGAGCTACGAATGGAATCAATGAAGACGAGAGCAATCCCGCGTTTCGCCCACGCAGTGCATCCTTTCGGTAGTGAAGGGTGAACCCCTAGGGCACTGCAGACCGCCGGCACCTAAACTAAGCGAAACGAAACCCCGACGCATGGTTCCGATCAACCGATTTCGTGGAAAACCCTCTCATGGGCGCCGTCGTAGTGTGGCACCACCGAGTCGAGCTGTCGGCGGTCAAGTCAAAATCTCTAGTAAGATGGATTTCTAATGATGTTCTCCGCTGAAAGCGTTCATAGGCGCAAACCTTGCGACCAGGGGGCGCTGACGCTAGCGTGATTCTCTCCTCGAGCTCTCGAGCCTCATTTAAGAGGTCCGGTTAGACGATTGAGAGTCATCTTGTGGAGCCCAAATCGTCCGAGGCTTCCATTCCCAGCGTTCTTCCATATCTTCGATCCAGTATGGCCTCACAAAGATCGGTGAGTTTTGTAGGGCATTGTTGTGCGCTCATGAATCCGGCAGGTTTGCCATCTCGGACGATCTTGTCCGAGGCTCTCCCTACGAGCGGTACGGCGTGCTCCCAATCTTGCGGAAGCTCAGATTGTATGAGCCCTCGCACAGCGGATGTCGTGCTTTGGCTATAGGACGTCCCTACAGCACCATGGAACATCACTGCCGAATCATGGCGGAGATTCGGACTGTCGGGAATTCCCGCTCGACAGAGGGACTTCTGCATTGGCTTGCCTTGATTTCACTCATTCATCGAACTTTTTTCAGAACTCTGGGGACGGAGGCAAGGCAATTCAAGAGGTTGAATCTGCCGCGGAGAGTTCATCCAGAGGTAAATATCATTGACCTTCCTGGACTGATTCACCATTGCGGTTCAAGACAGCAGTCACACAGAAATACAATGAGAGAGTAATTTCTTCCATGACTTTTTTCCTTCGTGCAGATGACTCTCCGTCAAGTGACTTCAGCAGCGACTGGAGTCTCCTCGGGCAGATTTCAGACGAGAGGTCCAGCACCTCTTCATCAGAGACCAGGGGACACATGTCCCGAGCAAACCCTGATGAGGTTTGTGATTCTCTCGAATTGGCGTCGGGGAAGTGGGATATCCCCTCACTGAAATTCGAGCTAATGAGACCGCGAGGGGATGAAGCATCCGCATGACTCAGAATTTTTCCTTCTCTCTGACAGGATCCCGTAGACTTCGTCTACGAGCGACTTTTCGGTGGCTGCACACCAGAACAAGTGCAGCGCTTCAAAGGTAATTAATCATATCTTTACTGCTGAAGATGAAGTCGATTTGCTGTTCGTGGGAACTTCGTGGAGTCGGGTGGATAATTAAGAGAGTCTCCATCATTTTCCCAGAAGAGATGAGGGAGCTAGAGTCCTCAACGAGAGGGGTAGCCTCCCTGTCCGACATCTCGTCTGTCGAGCAGAAGGAAGCTGCTCTCGAGAAATGCGAAGGTACGCGCATCAAGAAGCCTTCGCCGAATACGAATACGCGTTGTCGGCTCGACATTCATAAAATTGCTGGTGATAGTCTAGTCCGAGAGAATAATGTGCAACAACATGTTCGCAGATGAAAGTCGCATGTCGGATCGAACTCCACATCGGGAGAACATCGGGCCTGCCCCAGGAGGACCGACATCCACATCGGCATCGACTCTGACCGCCGCGATGCCGGGGGCAGAAAGCAGAGGCGCGATGACGGAAAGTGACACCCGCTCGCTCCTCGCTCAGCGGTTCCCAGCGGTTCTCACTGCGTCGAGCCACAATGAGGTCCTCGGCGAAGATGGCGAGCTCGACGAGGACGAAGACAGTGAGCTCGACGAGGACAGCGAGCTCGACGAAGACAGCGAGCTCGACGAGGACAGTGAGCTCGACGAAGACAGCGAGCTCGACGAAGACAGTGAGCTCGACGAGGACAGTGAGCTCGACGAGGATAGTGAGCTCGACGAGGACAGTGAGCTCGACGAAGACAGCGAGCTCGACGAAGACAGCGAGCTCGACGAAGACAGCGAGCTCGACGAAGACAGCGAGCTCGACGAGGACGAAGACAGCGAGCTCGACGAGGACGAAGACAGCGAGCTCGACGAAGATAGTGAGCTCGACGAAGAGATAAAGCTCGATGAAGAGAGTGAGCTCGACGAAGAGATAAAGCTCGACGAAGAGAGTGAGCTCGACGAAGAGAGTGAGCTCGACGAAGACGAGGAGAGTGACCTCGATGAAGACGATGACTGGCAGGACGAGAAGGACGACTGGATGGACGAAGACGACCACTGCCTTGCCGAGGACGATTCCTGCCATGGAGATAAAGACGAGGATGGCGTGGATCACGGAGATTTCGACTCCAGTGGAGACGAATACTTCAGCTGCGATGAGCATCAGGGCGACGCCGGAGACGACGCCTCCGAGGAGCCCTCGCCGCCGGGCCTCGGAAGCGCCACCTGCGACGCACCGATTCCGGCAGGACCTCGGAGTGAGACGGCGAACGGAGACGCCAGTCACGGCGGGGCCCCAGCAGATGTCTCCGAGCAGAGCCCCGAGACCAAACAGCGCACTCCTGTCGCCCCCGAACATCGCAGCGTCGGCCAGGCTCGGATCAGAGCCGAGCGGAATGGCAGGATCACCTTCATCGGAGGCCTGGATGGGGAAGGAATCGGGGAAATGAGCAGCGAGGATCCACTCTCGGACTATATCCCTCAAGTCAGACTCGATCCTCTTCTCGGCGAGGGGAACGGCCAACAGGGCCCGCGGGAGTTTAGGAGCTGGTTGAGAATGGGTGCTCCGAGATCTCCACCCTCATGGCAAGGTATTTTGAAAATCACTACATACAACGTCCCTCAGCCTCCGAATGCATCACAAGCTCAAGAGAATCTTGATCGATCTTTCGCTTCATCGAAAATTCCTTTGCAGACACTCTTCCCGCCAGAGAAGGTCTCTACCGCTGGGACTGCCCTGTTTGTCTCTGCGCCTTCGAGAGCGTGCTAGGCTGGGATTCGCACCTCAGGCTCCATGCCAGACGGACGCCAAACGTCTGCGCGAAGTGCCTCATGATCCTGCCTAGTGAGCCCACAGTCCTTGAGCACCTCAAGTTGCATCTAGCGGACAAAGTCTTCCCGTGTCATCGCTGCCGAATCACCTTCGAGAGCAACTATCAGTTGATCGTGCATCGAGCGGAGCATGGGTGCCTCGCGTCGTTGCCCCCGGGAGATCACGGCAACGTTTCCAGTCTCGGAGAGATGCCGGCGTACGACTGTCCCCTCTGTCCGGCGAGATTCGCCTCCACCTTCGGTCTCGCAGCTCATCGAGGCTGGCACGAGGGAAACCAATCCTTCCAATGTACATCGTGCAGGCTGCTGTTCTTCAGCCCTCGAGATTTCCTGGAACATCGCCGCACCCATCTCCAGCTGGAAACGTTCCTCTGCGATCGATGTGACTGTCGATTCCGAACGCAGACAGAGCTGCAGTTCCACAGACAGTGTAACGACGGGATGCAACACCTGGCAGAGCTCATGCAGAGTCAACACGAGCTCAGACAGAGTCATTCTAGGTAGATTTCCAGTGTTAATTTTATATATCCAAATTTTAATATATTCAACGCAGCCTTAATATATAACTATCGATAGCTGTTATTGTTTGATTCCATGCGAAGCCTGCTAGTTGCGATTGCTGTGAAGCCACAGCCGCACACTGTGATAATAAAATTATTGTCGTTGAAAGAGATATCCCGTGAATTTTCTTCGGGACATCAATGCTCGGACCACCGAGACCCTATACTTTGATTCAAGAGTCTTTCTAGCGGGCTCTCTGTATTTTTTTCCATATATCATACAGGACGATGGAAGAATGGGCGCAGCGAATTCCGATCGCCAATAATTAGAGCCTTCCCCGCCGGGCGATGAGATCTCTCAGGCAGTCCATCCGTCGTTTCATCATCGTCTCGGGCCTCTGGAAAGTTTCGGTACGCCGATGACGTCCCCGGGGACGAACCCTTGCCGTAGGAAGTGACTCGATTCTGGTAGCAATCCATCATCCTACAATCATCCTCTTACGAGTGTTCAACCTCGGTTTCGCATCATCAATACACCGCGAAGCTCTCGCCGACCGACTCTCAGCCCTGCTGCATCAGGCGCTCTGAACGCTCCCCATTTCGTGAGCCTCAGTCGCATTCTCATCCTGGTCGAGAAGAAAAGGAATCAGGCTTGAAACCCCGGAGCGCACTCCAATCGCAACAATCAATCTCAGGAGATTGAATACTCTTTCGCGAACCTTAATCAAATATTTCCTCGCCACGGGACTCAATCGGATGGCGAGACCGATCATGACCGTGACCATTAGTGCTACGATGAGCAGCGTGATGACAGCGCCCGACTTCGAGCTCGTCTTGGGCTGATGGACGCCGATCTGGATGCCCAAATCCTTCAGGAGCCCATCTCGATCGATAGCCTGGAAGTTTTGCTCCTTGAGTTCAAATGTCAGCAAACGCGAGGCTTGATTTCTAATAAGTCGTCAATCACCTGCTGCGACCTGAGTTGAATGCCTTCAAGCGGGATCTCGGCTTTCCTGAGAACTAATGAGTGAATAAGAGAATTAATAGCCACCGGGACTTCTCGTCTCGTAAAAACATCGAGCTATCGTCAAGGTGCCGGAGACGATCATGCTCGCCTACCCTTGTCTGTTCCAAGATAGATCACCATGCTGATGGGATTCCACGCTGTTCTGAGCGTCGCCGATATTTTCTCGCTTTTTCGGAGGAAGAAAATTTTGATTTTATCTCGATTTTTCATCGACTCTTCCCAATCGACGGTGGGATCGATCGATGTTCCATCTGGTTCTGATCCTTGTCCGGTCCATGCTCCGGCCCCGGCGGAAGTTTCGAGCCGCGATTCCGTACTTCGTTGAGCTTCCATAGAACGGATTGTTGCCCCGGTCATCGTTATCGGCTGCTGGGCTTCTTCGGTCTCGACATCTGGGCTCGATCCCGAAGAAGACTCTGCCTGTGGTGCCGTTCCCAACTCAGATTCTGGTCGCGTCGTAGACTTCAGAGGTCCCCAAATTTTCGCGTCTGCTCCTGTTTCTGTTCCGGTCTCTGTGAAGCGTTCCGCCGAAGATGTCGATTTCCGGTCCGACGCAATGCTGACGGTGGACATGATCGGAGCCACTCGGGTCGTGAGTTCAGAGCTCGGATCACTCGTGGCATCTGAGACCCATACCGTTGAACCGTTCGATTCTCCGGTGGCTACTACTCTCGTCGTTTCCGGCTGATTTGATGTCGTACCCGTGGGTTCGGGACCCGGACCGGGCTCCAGCGACTCAAGAGCGCTCGCCATGAGAACTCGCTGTACCTGATCGACGATGGTTTCATTCTGTAAATCGATAGAAACTCGTGATCGAATCGATCATCCTCAGAATTTCATCGCCTACGAGATCTCTTCCCTAAACGATACCGCACAGGCAGCTCTTCCCATTTTCTCTCGCAGCTCGCTTCCCGACAGAATCAGAATGTAATACAGGTACACAGCTCGGCGTCAGGCATTAAAAAAATAATGGCATTCAGAGTTAGAGTCCTCCTAGTCTCGGGTATCCTTCGATCATCCTTCTTGAATCCTGCGGGTTGCTATAGGGCCGTCTGTTGGCCGGTGCGAAGTCCATTCCCCCGCGGATATAGGAATAATTCTCCCCTCTCTCCCTCTCGTCTCGGGAATACACTGGAGCTTGAGAAATCCGCAATCCAGCCTGGTCTTACTGGATATCTAGAGTGATTCTCAGCCTATCGGTATAGTATCCGACTGAACTTACCAAATTCTCGGGTGTCACGGTGAACATTATGGTTTCATCGATATCCTTGGTAGATACACATATCGAATCCAAGTGGCAGATCGGTACTAGGCAGCTGAGCTGCTCAGCACAAGCTGTAAGAAGAATTCGGTGCAATATATTCATCCAGACTTCTTATCTCGACCCACAGGTGTCCGGAAGTTTATCCAATGGAGACTTATGAAAAACTCCGATATCTATCCATAGCGAGCGGACGCCCCATATGCAGGGGAGCGCTTTCAGATCGACCGGAGCACGTGGATCGTGATCGCCCACAGGGGACGAAACGAGCGGTGTCCGGTCCAGGACGTTGGGGGTTTTCGTCGTAATCCGAAGCAACCTTCTGAGGAGCCATGCCGGCGGTGTTGCTCTCTCATGCCATACCTGTGTGGTGCTACCCCACTGGCCATCTCTCAAGGGGTCGCGCAGATATCTAATGAGCTTGTTTCGATCCTTGCAAACACCGAGTTCAACACTCACACATTTCAGAGCACACGGAGAGACCGAAATGCGCCACGAGAACCAACCCAGCGACGAGGGCATCCCGGGGTCCCATGAAGAACTTTTATCGCGCAGATCACCTCCTAAGGGTAAATGTCAGAAAATGAATCCCAGATCCCGGCTTCGCACGAGGTCCCAAATGATTCGCTTGTACTCTGAAACACGGGTCGTTCGAAAATGAGCTTCCTAGCTACAGAACAATGACGTTTGGTCGATTACGGAGCCGTGTACATTCCTCTCTGGAGAGCAGGGCATAGCAAACACGGCAATCCGCTCGGCGCTAATCCGGAATATTTGATTGCAATAAAATCATATCAAGAGAATTCTGTCGCAGTGGACTGTTTCACATGAAATCGGCGACTGAGTGAGTCAGGGCCTTTTCGAACTCGATTCCGGGAGTGGCATAGCTCTCGATAGAAACGGCGAGCATCGCTTGTTGATGTCGCGCTTAGGAATAATGGAGGATCAAGCCAGGAACCGTTGGTATTCGCGCGGTGCGGGAGTTGAACGGGTTTTCGAGGTCATCGAGCTCTGGGACCTAGTCTGGAGTCGGGACCCTTTCTCTCCCCCAATCCCTGCTGGAGAAATGCATCCCCACATTCAAATGAATTGCTTCCCAAGACGTCGCGGTCCCGTGACGGGTCCTGACACCGCGAGAAAATGTTTTTCGATTTGTCACACGTTCTCTGAAATCAGGAAGATTTTCTTGAGGAGGGACTGTGGTCCTCGAAGGGCTCTCTCGTTTTTGGGGCGTAGCGGCCTCAAGAATCTCTAATCTCATGCTCTAATCTGCGGCATCCGATTCGGGATCAGAGCTGCTGAGCTTTCATCTGATTACGAGAGCGTAAACTTCCTTGGAGATCACTCAAAGTAACTCATATTTCGCGCCGATGTGGCGATAAATTGTAGAAGACCTGCGGGTCTCGTCTCCTTGAAGGGGGAGCTCACTCGAGTTTCGAGCGGGGAGAAGACGCGCCGCTCGAGGTCGAAATTTCAGCATCACCGATCATGAGGAAAATTTCGGTGACATCACGCATTCCACGCCAGCTGTGTTCGAATTTCATACGTGCTCCTCGGGATCACATATAGCCGAACCTCACACAGATTCTCGGAGAGTAATGCCAGCCGTCAGCTGTATTGGTATGCCGGAAGAGCAGCATAAAATTCATAAAAACCCTTCATTCGCGGTGCGCTCATTGCAGATCTGCACACCCTTCGATCTACGCTCTAAAGGGATGACCGCGCAAATTGGTACGCACCCTTTACATTGCTTCTGAGGACGAATCCAGAGCGTAAACGCACTCAGAGCCGGTTATCTGTTTTTTTTTGCCGGCAGCAGGAATCGAACGACGCACTGACTCATTGTGAGACAGAAATGACTTTCATGTCACTGGGAAGAACAGGATATCCTCGCTCCAGCCTACGGATTGATGAAGCTCACTCGAACGAACCGTTCCGAGTTTCAGGATATGATCATCCTCTCTCGAACGCCGTCCGAGAAAATGATGATGGTCAAGCTTCCGAGTGAACTTCGTTTGAGCTCTCCGTACGCATTCTGTGTCTCCTTCTTTTGCATAGAGCTCACCTGTCGGATTATCGTTCTGGAGAGTGGTAATTGATTTGTTTGAGTCTTCTACTGCTTTCTGAGTTTTACAGAGTCGGAAGCCACCGTATCGACTCGGAACACCCTTCGCAAGTCGACGGTGGGCTCGGGTGTTTTCTCTAACTCGATCGCCGTTGGTTCCTTGCTTGCTTGCTCCGAGCTCACGTCCAGGCTGGCGGGCCGCGTGGTGAGGCAGAAGGGGATACCGATCCGGAATGCCCTCCTCCCTCAAAGCTCATTTCGCCTCCAACAGAAATCACGGGAGTCCAACAGTGAGACAGTGTTCAAGAACGACCTCAAGGAAGCGGAGCACGACGCCTGGCCTGGATCGAGCTGGAGCGTGGGCTACATGGTCACGGCCCTCAATATCCCTATTCGAGCTTCAAGCCATCTCGTCATCAGGATACTTTCTCGGTCCCGGACCGAGGGGCGAGGCCATCATTCGAAATATAAGGGTCCGGAGGGCGATCATATTTTTCACTTTGTCAAATTCAATATTCATCAATTGAGGGCCGAATGATCTTCCGCGCTCAAATGTCTCTTGCGATGAATCTTCCGCGCCGAATCGGCCGGCTCGCCGATTCGGCTTGCCCTCGCGCGGCTCGATGATTCCAAGACCTCGACATTGTCTATTTGAGATCATGTCAGCGAGGCATCGCAGGTCCTCTTGCCTACGAGCTGGAAGCTCACCTCAAACGAGTTTTGAGAGCCGCTTTCACGACGATGCGCTCTGCAGTTCGATGATACCACAGCGTCCTCTTCCTTCAGGAGCGATGAGTCTCCCATCGGAAGGCTCCTTGAACCCTCGGTCCCGAAGTTCCGAGTTGTGGGTTCGTGGAATCGCCCGATAGATTTTCTTGCTAGGCATCCGTTTCTTCGATTTCTCCACTCCTCACCGCCCGCTTCGCTGAAAATCGTCTGCACGAATCAGTGTCATCATTCTCCCAACACGCGAGAGGGGATAGGACTCTCCACTTCTCTGAGTAGCCCGTAGCCCCCGTTCTCCCGATGGAGTCTCCTATGGCTTCCACACACGTTGTTCTCGACGCTCACTCAGCGAGATGTCCCGCAGTTCAATAGACCGCCGTTCATCTGTCCAACCCATCCTGAGAGTTTCCGCAGTCTATTGAGCGTTCATTTTTCTTAAATGACGGAAACCTGGCCCAGTGATCCCAGATGACGCCGACACTCCGACCCCTCCGAGCTCTAGACGACGGAAGAGTTGTGTACATCGAGCCAACAAAGGTAGCGGCGTTAACAACACAGCACAGGAGCACAACTAGTCAGGAGGGAAACGAACACAGCCCAGGATCTAGTCCGCAGAGAACGTTCCCGCGATAACTAAGGTTTGCAGTTTGTGTTCAGAGCTCGGGCACGAATCCGTAGTTCGTCACCATGGTGAACAAAAGGAAGAAATACAACGCTCGATTTGCCCCGGTAAGTGATTCTGGCGAGAGACAATGTGCTTCATTTCAATCCATGGAGCTGAGAATCACTTCAGCGCCCACATTATGATCTATTCTATTGCCAGAAGTAATTCTCAACGGAGTCACGGTCAGAGTCAGACCTCCGACAGCTCTGGTGGCTCTAGCGCTATCTTCCTAGAAGTTCGATCGATTTCTATTTATTTGGCAGGCGCGAATTAAGAAGATCATGCAGAAGGACGAGGAGATCGGAAAAGTTGCAGCTGCCGTGCCCGTGATCATATGTAAGGAAAGCTTTTGAATTTCTCGAATTGAGCGGAATTCTTGGCGCCTCAATCAGCTGTAGGCGGAATGGTGACATTCCGTCTGGGCGATGCCAAGGGGGAAGTAGGGGTTGATTCTTCAAGAGGAATTCCCCTCAATCCTACGAGACTGCTTACAAGCGATTGCTCGTCTGAAACACCTCATGTCATCGAGTTTCTCTCGTGGATTGACGGTGCCCTGTGCGGGATATGCCTGACAACCGGTTTCTCTTCTACTGGAGTTCTCGGCCTCGTGGATTATCTGTTTTCTAAACGCGGAATTCTCACCCGCAGCTAGAGCGCTGGAATTATTTGTGCAGTCCCTGGTTCGGAAAGCAGAAGCAGTCACCCGCTCGAGAAACGCTCGGACTCTGACACCGGCCCACCTGTAAGTCTTCCTATCCGGCACTTATGTAATGTCCTTTGCTGTATTTGGAATTCTATCGTCCGTGAGAATCTCGATTAATCCGATCCAGGCCGTGGGTCGACCTCCACCTGTTCCTCAAGCGGAGAGGACCGGAGTTTTTCGCTTCGAATCCCTCCTCCAACCAGGAGATGATTAGATTTTCATGTCAATACAGGAAAGCGAGCATCCTAGCGGATCCGCGTCTCCGCTTCCTGCGTGAAACCGTCGCCAATATACCCGACGTGACGCAGGAAGAAGAAGGTGAATCAAGTGGATCGACGCACAATCCGCTCCAAGCAGCCGTAGCAGCTCCACCATCAATGAAACCTCCACCACAGCGAACGAGGCCGACTCCGGGGTAGGTTCTCAGACTCAATAATTCTATGGCGAGGCATCTGCCATGGGAGTTTTTTCAGCATTCGATCCCGTTTCCCCGATTGCCGGATCGTAGAGTGTGCATCTTTAAGATCTGTCGGGTGTTGACGAGACTGCTCATTGAAATTCGTTCTCTTGCAGTGAGCACGGACGGAACAACGACGGATGCGTGGACTCGCCGTCGGAGCGAGACATGGCCGCCGTGCACGAGAGCGACCCGTATAACGTTCTACCGTCGTATATCCCACCTCCTGTACCGGGTTCTCAGTCACAATACGGCATGGGTGTTTTCCCACCGCAAGCGCACTCTCAGTACACTTCTCCTTACTCCTCACAGACGTCGCACAGTCAGTCATATCAACAGGCCGCCTACGCGGCCAACCTTCCTGGTAGCTACGGCGTTTTTGGGAACACGTATCCCATCACACCGGCACTCACATGTCAAGGAGAAGATGACGACTACGACACCTGAGAAACAGAGAGCGAGGCTTCGGGGGAAGTTGCTCCTAGCCGATTCCGGGCTCGGAACCGGTACCTAAGTAGTTGTGCATCAACGCTGAAATGCAACATGTAGATAGAGCGATGGTCGAGGGTTTTGTAGTCTAATCAAGCCGCCACCCGATGTAGATAAACTGTGTAAATACATACGAGAGCGGGACCCCTGTACATTTTGACTCTCGTCCGTTTCGAGGAAGTGCGTCTAGTTAACTCCGACTACGACGTTGTGGACAAGTCACAACAACCTAAACGAGTAGCTAACCAACATGCCCGGTTGATTCAAAATGGGAAGCAAGTAATCTACTCAAGGATTATGAATGGTACCATGAATGGCTAGAATAAAACTGTTCACGCAGCAGCCCGAGCATTTTTTTTTATCGATTGGGAGGGTTCTCGCGAGCAGGGGAGTCCCGACGGAAGTGCTGGACCGGGAGCCACAAGAAGATCGCGCAGGATGATGTCTGCCTTTTCTCCGAGTAGCGCCAATGAGTTTATATCGTCCCGTCAGAGTTTCCGCATGATTCCTTCCATGCCATGCTTCGCCAATCTTCCCGCGCGAGTTCCATGAATTTTTGTACATGGATCAATTGCGAGGCTGCTCCTCTTGTTCTCTCGTTGTTATGTGTGGAAAAAGTTCCCGGATGAGCGAAAAGACCCCTAGAAACTACCGGTACTGATCCGAAGGTTGAGATGTTGAGATTGATCGAGGGATTCTGGACATTGAGATAGGGTTCCGTAAACGATACGGAGTGCTTCGCTAGCCTGAACGTAGGCGGGCGTATTTCGCTGCGGAAGCGCTATCTGTCGTCCGCCACCGCTTTTGTTTACACCACAGACCTTCTCTCCTAAAGGGCTTCTGGTCCCAAGAAGCACAGCTGGCGCCGAGAGACCGGCTGTCAATGTCTTACTCAAGAGTATCATCAGAGAAACGAGTTCTCCTAGATAGCTGAGAGGCAAGGAATGCGAGTCCAGGTGCTCCTCGCCAAGCTCGTGGTTCCTGGTGCGGGACTCGCATCCGGAAGACGCCGTATTTTATCGAAACGCGGATTTCCTCTCCACCGGATGCTCACTTCCTGAAACTCTGCTGCGACAACTAAGAGTAATGCCGTCCGGTGAGTACTTCCCGCAAGCCAGAGCTAGCCTCTCAGTGAGCTCCGTCAATCTCGCAACTTTCTGGAATGTTCGTGACCGGATTCCTGATCGAGAGGACGTCAACGGCGTGTGCGATAAATCTTGAGCTATATGATCCATGAACTTTGAACCGGTGTATCATTATCCTGGAGTCTTGTTGATGATAAGAATTCTCATTGGAATCCGAGTCGATATCGGAAAACCTCTATTCAAACTCCGAGGCTAGATATCATACGTTCGATACCTTTGGATGCCCTTGCCGTCTAGTACTTTTTTCAACCCTAAGAGGGAGGGTATTGAGCGGGACCGGATAGATGCTCGACGCAGACCATCGAGGAAGGAATTCTCGGAAACCGATTTCATCTCGCTGTCGAGCGAAGTAAGAAAATAAATAATTCAGCGCCGTCGATAAAATCTAGGCCGAGGATGTATGAGACCCAGAGTCGACTCGGCCTGAGGATCGAGATTCATTTTCTCTCCTCTCCGTGGACGAGAAGAGCCATCACGGTGACATCACTAACCTGCGAAAGACGCCGTAAAGCGTCAAACGGAAGTATAAGCTATCGGCCAGATCAACCTTTGCGAGGGATTTCATCTCTGGACCATTTGCAGTAAACGAGCCGGCGGCTTTCGGGCTGCTCGACGGTGAAGCGAGAGAAGACGAGATGTATTCAAACACCCAGCGGAAACCTCATGTGAGTGGATACACATGATTCGTACGCACCACGAATTTTATTCGATAGCGACCATGGTTTCTCGCTTCTCTCTGCTACAGGTTATCCTCCTGATCCGACAATGACCTGAAGGAAATCTCGTTCACAGATTAATTCGAAACGAATTATGATGAAGATCCTGCTAGGTGTCCTCCTCGCTTTCGTAGGACTCGTCATGGTTTTGGCGATTCGTACGATGACGTTGAAAGCAAATGTCGAAGATCTCCAAGGCGAAGGCTTGAAGACAAATTTCGAGGTTTCCATAGCGGAAGGTCTCTCCGACGTGATCCGATTCGCCACGATCTCCTATGATCGGTATTCACCGTGGAGAATAAATCATACCGCTTTCAGGGGTCTCAATGAGTATCTCTTCAAAAGTAGGTCCGGGTGGCAGTCTCTTCCGAGGCATCGATAGATAGCTATATCATGTATCATCCGAGATATCGAGGCAGGTCCTTCGAGTCGTATCTACGGCATCAAGAGAGTCCTCTTGCTCTCAGGGTTTCCCTTAGTTTTCACCGATCCCCCGTCGTGGATCACTCACAAAACGATCGCGAACTACAGCATTCTCATTCATGTCCGCGGTCGGAACGCCGAATTGAAACCCTACATGCTCTGTGCCCACCTTGACGTGGTTCCTGTAGACGAAAAACTCTGGACGCACCCACCGTTCGAAGGCTTTACGGACGAAACCCATGTCTGGGGTCGGGGAACTCTCGATAACAAGCACAACCTGATGGTGAGTTGATGCTATCGGCGAGAGCCTCCCAGCAGCGAGCTCACCAATATTGACCATTTCAACTAAATTCAGTTCCTCACGGAACGGAATCTTCCAAGTCAGAAATTCACGAGACTCGGGAATATCCCCGTGTCCATGCTGTGACTCGGACAATAGGGATGATGTTGATTCTGCATCACGAGTCGAAAATGACCCCGTATCTAGTACCGCAGGAGTCGGAACACTCCAATCCTGTTTTATGAAGGTTTGACTGTACGGTGCCTTCTCGTTACAGGCCATTTTGGAGGCCTTGGCTCTTCGAGTTGAGCGTAAACAAGTACCCAAACGGAGCTTCTATATTGCATTCGGACATGATGAAGAAATCAGTGGATTCAATGGAGCCAAAGCCATAGCTGAGAACTTGGCTTCGACGGGGGTTAAATTAGAATTCATTCTAGACGAGGGTCTCGTCATCCTCAAGAAAGGTGTTCCGGGATTGGAAAACCCAATGGCCTTGTGAGTTACAACACTTGCTGTCTTCGCGAGAGTGGGCGACGGCAACTGGGGGAAACCCCGCATTCTTCTAAAGACGGCATTCAACCCCGCAGGATCGGCGTGGCCGAAAAAGGATATCTCACTGTGAAAGTGAAATGTACGGACGCGGCGAAACACTCATCGATACCATCCCAGGAGACAGCCATCACAATTCTCGCCAAAGCTCTCACTCGGTAAGAAGCATTTGAGTCTCGACCATAACCTGGTGATGAGGGTCCACGTCTTTGTTCGAAGCCAGTATTTCGGCCGCACAGGTTCACCGGCAACGCCCATCCCGCACACCTGACGGAGTTACAAGAATCCCTATTGAGAGAGGCAGCGCCCTACGCGAGGTTCCCTTTCAATGTCGTGTACCTGAACTTGTGGCTCTTTAGACCTTTGCTGTGGCTGCACATGTCGAGGGTCAATACGCTCGCCTCACAAATGCGGACCACATCAGCCGTCACTGTGATCGAAGGTGAGCGACTTCATCCTTCTTCACGATATCAGGAATCAGTGACGACAGAGCTTTGATGACTTCGATATCACGCCCTTCAAGGTGGATCTAAGGAGAATGTGATACCGAACGAGGCAGAAGCTTTGGTCAATCATCGTATCTTGCCGGGATATTCGATCAGAGAAGTGCTCGAGTTCGACCAGAATCTCGTGAAAGATATTCCCAACGTCAGCGTGGAGATATTCCGGGTGAGCGAGTCGATCAAGATCACCGTGGGCTCATTCAGTGATCGGATGGATAAAGTACATGACATTCTATTCGAATCAGGCATGAGCCTCTGAACATTTACTCGAAAACTACCTCTTAACTCAAAGACCTTTCCTTGGGGCAGGACTCGGGTACTGAACCGACGCTCGCATCTCCACATGACGAAAACTCATTCGGATTCAGTCAGATTAAGAAAACTACTCGGCAGATTCATCCCACCGCGTTGGTCGCGCCGAGTCTGATGGTGGCTAACACCGACACGAAACATTACTTCGCAGCGAATTTGACGGAGAGCATATACCGGTGAGTGTTCGCGTCGAGCGCGGAAGTCCAATCGACGAACGTTCTTTCGAGAAAGCTCCCTAGTTCTCCGGGATGAATTTCATGACACTCGAACTCTTTTTCAGTTATTCGGCGGTACCCATGACTTTCGCCGACACAGCGATGGTGCATGGGAACAACGAGAAAATTTCAAAGCTCGATTTTCAACGCTTAGCTGATTTTTACTACCAATTGATTAAGAATTGCGACGAAGATCACACGGATGGTGCAACCACGCGTCGCGCAGAACTCTGAGCTCATATGACTCAATCGATCAAAGTGACATGGAGAATGTCGGAAACTTTTCCATATCGCACATTTTGTGTACGTTCCTCGCTGGTCTTTCTCTTAGATAGGAAAAAGCGAGACAATAAAGAAAGGCAGCATGCTCACGATTGCTTCCTAATTCTGGAATCAAATGAAGACCCTCTGAAGCCTGAAGGTGAAGAAGATCCGGTGCTGTCCCTCGGGGCGACCCGCGCCGAGTCTAGGGAGATGTCCTCTCCCCTACAGTATCTTTCTCTGAGGCCATTCAACAGAAATGCTCCCGTCTAACGCGCCTCGGAAGTTCGCGCGGAACTCCCAAGCGACTCTTGAACACTCTAGCCGTAGATGGGTCCTCGACTGATGAAGACACACCCGATTGGGCATCGGGGCTCGGCCGCCGTGAGGGTTTTCAACGGGGAGCTCATGGTCGAGTTCGAATCATAGAATTCCTAAACTTTCGCTCTGTCGACGAGGATAGTCGCATGAAGTATCAGCCGAGCCACTTCAGAACGGGACTCTTGGTTTCTTGATCAGAAAGTCTGAAAATGTTCGATTCGGACGGGACCTCCGGAGCATCAGGCGACCAGGAACGGAAAGTTCCGAGAGCGCAGGTCGTTAAAACCGTTCGACTCAGCGCGTCGCCCCTCGTTTTTGGTCCGCGCATTCTGATTCTCCCGATGACTACCTCAGCTCGCGAGCAGCACTGCTGGCCTCGAGGATCGCGCGATCGAGGGCTCTGAGCTGTGAGATGATTCCCCACTCCCCCTTAGCGCCACCACTCGAGATTCCCGTTCCTCAATGTGAATGCGGATGCTCCCGTGGCGATGCCCACATCGATTTTGTCAGCGTTGTAGGGCGTCTCCAAGGAAACCTTGCCGGGATCTCCGAAGCTCTCGGCTATGGATCCGCACAGCATTCACCTATTCTCCACCTGTTGACTTGAGAGCCAAGAGGTGAGAATATTGCTGCCGAAAATATTACTTATTATTTGTCTGAGTGTCCAAAGAGGTCCCGCTCCTCACAGGGTGAGTACCACAGGAACCTCATGAGCGCCACGATCGCTCCGGAGGCACAAAACGATATTCACTCCGAAGTTTTGCATCTATACTCATCGAGTTCCGGATCCCCAGGTGATGAGGAACATGGCGTCAATGGCCGGCCTACTGCCGACGATATTTTTCGCCATGACGGCTTTCGCCCTTTACCTAGCTTTCCGAACGGCTCTGCTGAAAGCGAACGTGAAGTTTCCGAGCGACAGAGCCCTAGAGAAAAACTTCCCGATCACAATTTCGCAAGCCTTGGCCGGAGCCCTGCGTTTCGAAACGATTTCATACGATCAGTCATCTAGCAAGAACTTCAATCAGACAGCATTCACCGGGCTTAAAAAATTCATTTTCAAACGTGGGTCCGAGTCTTGTGATGTGTGCAATCTCTATATCGAATCTAAAAATAATAGGCTGTGACGCAGAAGACCATGATCATGGTTCAGTTCTCGACATTCACTCAAATTCTGAATACCGTGCAGAGTACCCGAAAATCTTCAGGAAGCCACCAGAATGGATATTACATAGGATGATCGCCGAACACAGTATTCTTCTCCATGTTTACGGTCAGGATCTTAAGCTGAAACCATACATGCTCAGTGCGCATTTGGACGTTGTTCCCGTGGACGAGAAGCTCTGGAGTCATCCGCCATTCGCTGGCTACACGGATGACCTCCATGTTTGGGGTCGCGGGGCTCTCGACGACAAGCACCGAGTCATGGTGAGAGCAAGAAGTTGGCTGAGGCAAGCGTCAGACACCGAAGTACATAATCTAATTCCGTCATTCTGAATTCTGCTTCCTCAGGCCATACTGGAGGCCTTAAACCTCCGCATCGAGCGCAAACATCGTCCAATGAGGAGCTTCTTCATCGCTTTCGGTCATGATCAGGAAGTTCACGGACTGGCGGGAGCTAAAACCATAGCGAAATATTTGAACACTATAAAGTCAAAAGTGGAATTCATACTGGATGAGGGACCTCCCATCCTCAAGGATGCTATACCAGGAGTTGAAGAACCTGTAGCCCTGTGAGTACCGGTGAGGTGCCCTCGCCATCGAGTTTTCGTACTCTGTAATTTGCATCGCCAGACGCGGAGGTCTAGCGATGATTTCGCTTGCAGAATCGGTGTTGCGGAGAAAGGATACCTGACCGTCAAAGTCAAGTGCGTGGACGAAGCTCGACACGCTTCGATCCCCTCGCACGAAACTGCCATCACCACCCTATCCCGAGCTCTCTCCCGGTAAACGACACACAAAGGGAACTGGGGAATAATAATTCATGGGGGATATCGATACTCTATCTGAATAGTCCTGATGGGAAACTGGGAAAATCCACCGTACAATTCAGGTTCACGAGTACTGCTCATGCCGCGCAAATGACCAAACTCTTGGAAGCTCTGGTGGAAGAGATAGCGCCGTATGCGAAGTTCCCCTACGATATCGCATATTCGAACATGTGGTTATTCAAGCCGCTGGTTTCTCGATTTTTTTCGAGTAGTGACGTCGTCTCCGCACAAATGAGAACGACATCAGCCGTCACCGTGATACACGGTATGTTCAAACGCACTCAGACTCACCGTGACATTCCCACTGCCCTTCCGAGCAGATTCCCGGATCGATTCTGTCCACAGGAGGCTCTAAAGAGAACGTCATCCCGAACAAGGCTGAAGCTCTGGTCAATCATCAGATACTACCGGGATACACCATCAGAGACGTCCTCGCAGCTGACCGGGAACTGATCAAGGATATTCCTAACGTTTCCGTTGACATCTACAAAATGGATTCTAAGGTAATCAACGCACGCTTCGATAGGGCGCATAGAGCGTTTATGACTAGACCTCTCGGAGGACGTTGCGAGATGGAATAGAATCGAGTGCATCGATTCGCTCCTGAAAATGGGGTCTCTCAATCCAGGACGTACGCACAGAGCCGACGCGTGCCTCTCCATTCGGGAAGGACGCCTTCGGGTACAATCAGATCAAGAGAGCGGTCAAAAAGATTTTTCCCGAAGCCATAGTCGCTCCCAGTCTCATGGTGGCCAACACCGATACGAAGCATTACTTACAAGCGAATCTCACTGAAAATGTCTACCGGTGAGTATCTCGATCGAAAGCTCATGCCTTCAAGACAGCGATGCCCGAGAAGGGTCGCGTCGAGAGACATCATTTCATATTGGAGGGATATGGGTGGAAAAGATCGCGCATCCTCGACCTGAGGGTTATGGAGGTCAGTGGCAGATTAGATGCATTGGAAGTCTCGGACGGATTCATCGGCGCCTCTTTTTCCGCAGTTTCTCTCCGGTACTGCTCAGCCTCGCTGATATCTCGAGCATCCATGGAAACGATGAAAAGATCTCGAAGATCAACTTCCGGAGGCTGGCTGACTTCTACTTGCAACTTCTGTATAACTGCGACGAAAGTATACCGAGAGAACTGAAGCATTATCGATCGGATTTGTAGATCGACGCGGATGGAGTGTGCTTCAGCGAGAGAAAACACAGTACAGCGCGAAGAGATTAATTCAATCGGCCGCGGATCGTGTAATCTTAGTCACCCGAAAATGCCGCTCCCGTCGAGCAGCTGCCTTTTGTGGGTGAAACTGCGATACCTCAGATGCAATTACTCCTCCGATATACCAGAAGTGGAGTCTGTATCTAATGAAGTAGAATGAATGCCGGTGCTCAAAAGATGCTTCTCGTTGTAAGATCTAGTATTCGCTGTAGTCGGTTCGTCTCCAATTCCTTGAAGCAGCTGATCGCCGAGACCTACTCATCGCCATCATCATGGAGGGGAGATTCACTCGCCCACTTATGTCAGGATGCTCTTGAATCCCTAGGTCGGCGAAGAGAGTCTATTCCAGCACTATCTCATCTCGACAGAGATGGGGAATTCCGTTATATTCTGAGCGATGCGGAGTCCGGAGAAAAGTCCTAAATTTCCAAGAAAAGCCAACGGGTGCTAATTGGAGAATATCTCTGCTCGGAACATTTCCGAAACCTTTTTCCTGCACCACACGTCGTCAGATCGATATAAACGTCTGAACGTTCCCATGCGGGCTACATAAGACGTTGTGCTGATCAAATATCGCCTGTCTGAACAGACTGAGGTCTCCAACAGCTGATCCGACGAGCGTTGCAATTCAAGGTGAAGTTCAGCTGACCTTCTCGTTTCTCGGCCGTCGATGTGTTGGGTGACGATCGTCCCATCGTGGAATCGTTTTCACTTCTGCAAGTCCAGCGCAGGGGGAAGTCATGGAGCTGATGATCAAGTCGATCGTCAGCAATCCCGCAATCCAGGGAACCCCGTGTTCTGATCGTCTGCTCTCGGACCGAGACAATGTTTTCCGGAGTGAGTTCAACCCTTCAGGGCAACCGGAGAGTTCCTGGATGAGTTGAGGGTCTTCGGATCATGGTCCGGATCCCTTTTTCCACTCCTCTTGAAGATCTCATATTTCTGCTTTCTGACTTCGCTGAGCACAAGACTGTTTCCAGTGATGGACGCTTCGGGAAAATTTCCCTCAGGAATGGCTTCGGGCAATCTCGCCGATCTCGGTAGTTTCGACCAATGTCTCGCCGGTACAACGAGAGGTAGCCATTACTGTACGGTGATTCTTAAACCTCGCAACGCTTCCCTATTGGACCGTATGGCGGTTTACAACCGCAGAGTGGACTTCAATTACGCGTCATTTCTGGTCGGCGCGTGTGCGCCTGTCGAATGCGGCAGCGATCAAATCCAAGCCGTATATCAGTCCGGTGAGGAGTTTGACAGAGGCCGAAGAGAAGGACAAAAATCAGGGTAGAGTCTCACTTTTTAACATTCGCGTCGTCGACCCAAGCCTTCAACGATTGGTTCAACGCCTCTGTGGATTCCTGTCAATCCTCATCCACGCCCTTGAACGTGTTTCAACAAACATCACTGCTTTTCCTCGGCTGCTGGATCTTCTTCCTGATCATCGGTTTCGTTTTGTTGGGACCATCCGTCTCGCCCTCGGCTCGTAGGCCCTGCTCCTCGATAGACGCATTCAAGGCTCTAGCGACTCTCTGGGTCCTTCTGGGCCATACCTACGCCATAGTGGAGCCCCATATCGTCGGTTCGTGAAGTTCCCGGAGAGCGCTCCGACAAAATCTTTAAATAATGCACGTCCAGTCATCGGAGGATTAAAAGAGGGGAGACAATTAGGCGGTCGCTCCCTCCCTCTCCGAAGGCTCCTGCTTTTTACGCTACCCGTATTGAAGCAGGACCCACGTGGGCACCCCTCGATGCATTCACCGCCCGCTCAGAGGTCTTCCTGGCTATACAAAGTCAACTTGCTTTCCCATTAGGTCTCTCTCTGCGATACTACGAGATGCGCGACGGACTCCTCTTCTGCTTCATCTCGAACGCCCACGTGTCCGTGGAGATATTCTTCTGCATCACGGGGATTCTCATCGCTAAGAAAAGGACGCGTCGTACTCTCTCGGTCGCAATAATGGGTATTTGGTTTTATTATTCGCTGGGGATCCTGCTCACGGTCTGGGGTTCCGGCGCGATTTCCATGCCTGTTCATCCTCAATAAGTTTCCCGGCCTAAGAATAACGAAACGATGAGAGGGTACGCAGGTTTCATCAAAAACCTATCTCCTCAGGCATCTTTGTCCGGTACGTGAGGCTGACCGTTCCAGCCCTCTTGATATTGATAATTGCTCCCCTGTTCCCAATCTTCTGTAATGGTCCCGCCAGTCTGCTCATAATGAAACAAAGATTTCTGAACTGCATCAGCAATTGGTGGACGATTCCCACCCATACGAATAATTTTCGGCCACTGCGGAGCGGGGTGAGTATGGTTTCGGTGGGCGATATTCCTCCACAACGACAGTCGGAAATCATAAACTACCGGAACGTGTTCGAAAATGGGAGCTTGCTGACTCTGGTCGTTTCTGGAATACGATCCTCAGTGCCTACCTCATCTGTGGTACATCAGCGCAGATTTTCAAATCTTCATCGTCGTCTGGACTATACATTGCTTGGTTGTCAGGTTCGACTGCACCGTATTCACAATTACTCGGCCGCTGGAGCAAAGATAACCCCCTCCTCCCTCCTGCCCGTTGCAAGTCGAGCTAAATTAAGGTTTTTCTCCGCAGGAAAAGGTATCGCATGGTTCTGCTGGGTCTTATCGGAGCAGCTTCCATCGCATACGTCGCGCTGGAAAGCTTGGTGTTCCAGTATGCTCCCACTGTTATGTCGGGAAAAACGATTGAAGAAGTGTGGCGGGCTTCGACTGAAGTGTACCAGCGACCCTCATGCCATCTGGCTTCCGTGGTCGTCGGTTACATCGCCGGGAGCCTGCACAATAGTAAGATGCTTGATGCCCAAAAGCTGTCTGGGAGACGTGCGGAACTTTACGTGTTCTCGACAACCGCAATGCTGTACGCCGTCTTGGGTGGTCACCCATGGATAAGCCGATCCTGGGACTATACGGAACGACCGTTCTATCCGGCGTTGTACGCCGCGGTGCATCGACCGCTCGCGGCTCTCTGCATCGCGACATTTTACCTATTGAGGGAGCATCGACGGAAGTGCAGCAAACGAGAAAACTCAATCGGTGGTGTGTGGCATTACTTTGGCTCTATGATTCATTACGATGGGATCTTTACTCCTCACCACTCGTTCCGACGACGTTCTGCGATACTTACAGGCATCAAAGATGAAGAAACTCTTCTTCCATCGGGAGAGCCGGGCCCGAATAATCTAGTATATCCGAGGCCGCTGTCCTGGATGTGCTCTGAACTTTCGAGATTTGCCTTTAGCATCTACCTCAGTCACATGTTTGTATTCATGTGCACATCTGCTACCACCAGGGAGAGATTACTCCTGTCGCATAGTGAATACTTGAAGCGATACATTATTCACGTCTTGTTGAGCTGTGTCGTCGGAGCTCTTTTCCACCACGTGATAGAGAATCCCGTACTGATCGTGTTGAGCTTCATCTTCGGGAGAACGCGGAAAAATCGGTTCGCAAAAAGCGATATCCTCCCGTCTTCAGGGAAGTGAAGAGAGAGCTTCGCGGTGCTACATGAGACTTCAATGAGGGGAAGCGCTTCCGATGCGGTATATCTGCATGGGCAGATGCTCAACCCGCATTTGAATGAGACGAAGAGGATTCGTACTCTTTAGTAAGGCAATGAGGGAGCTAATTCGACCCGTGGAAAAGATTGAAACTCCGTTTTCGATTCGGGAAAAACTGTCCTCATAACAATCCTCCGATATCCCGTATAAGGTCATACGGGGAGGCTCGACGCCGAATGTTCTCGGAGTACTAGAGTCTGTGAGGAGGTTCCGAAATCTCGTAAGGGAAAAAGGGATGAATTTCCGAGAAAATCAAAGGGAAATAAAGTAAAAAACCTCAAATAGATATCTCGCCGTACCTCTTGGGGCCTATATGGAGCCTCGCTACTTATCGGAGAAGATCAAAGCTCTGATCGCGATAGAAGAAATCGCCCATCACGCGATATCATCACCGCTACCGCGAGACGAGCATGATGAGCATTCTATCATGCTTGCCGCGGATACAATGGAGAAGTTAATGAATGATTCCTTACCCTTCCTTCACTCCGCGCGGAATACGCGGTACTGCGAGGATAAGAGTCTGACGAACCTGATTACTGATTACTACCCAGGGCCCCAGCCTTCCGAGTTTGGGAGCTACTGCGACGAATATGAGCCCTAGTAGGCGAGGGGATCCCGATGGGTTCTTTCATCTCGAACGTTTGAGAACTCTTGATATCACTTCACGCGTAATCGATCAGTCAGACAAGTGCCAGTCCCAAGTGAGATCCCCCAGGAGACATGGCTCCTATTCCGATGATTTTGAGCGATCTGGTACTTCTCAGGTGCTACCGCAGTAAGCTGCATCACGGTCACAATTCATTCCACGAAGCATAGGAAGGTTCAGTCGGGGGAGCGCCGGCTTTCGGGATGGCTTAATGCAGAAGAACATTCCCACATTCTTTCCTGCGGGGAGACCAGGTCTCTCCAGCAGCAGGGGCACCAGGAATCCGTGAGCTTTGCCGTATAATAGGAACGCGCTCACGGCCACGTACTGAAGCATTTTTTGATAGAGCCAAAAAGCGGCCACGTCCCGTGGTCGGAGTCAGCAGACTACGGATTTCGTGAACAAGGGAAGACCCGCTCAACGGAGCGTTACGACTCACGGCGTCGGCATCCGACTGAAACAACCCACGATAAGATGTTTCGAATCGTTCGATTACATAACGATGCCTGTAGCTCAATTCCGGTCACTACGCGGAGCCCTCAGCCCGACCAACATTTTGCATCTTGAAGATAAAATGTCAATGCGGTGGTACCGGGATTCGGGCTCGAGACCGTGAGCCTTATATTTGCCATGTGATATTGAGTTGAGGTCTATCAAAACGGAGACGGAACCACCCGTCAAAAAAGCTTCTCTATCAAGCGGAGACCGGACGAGAATGGTCGAGCGATGGATCGAGAGTGGAATATTCCTCTTCTTGGGGGATTCTTTCTCCTAATCTCATCACATCTCCAAGTCTGTCTGAAATCGGATCATTGGGAGGCTCCGCTAGTCTCAATCGCCGCTACATCTATGCCCATGTCCCATTAAAATCTCCAATTGTCGGGGCAAGGAAGAACTCCTTAACTCAGCGTCAAAATTGGGTCTTCGTTTTAAGATATATATTTTTCGGATTCCCGAACGAGTGGCGAAGTCGGAATCATCGTATGGAAATAGACGAGATAGGAAAGTACCATCGTCGGAAAGAGGTCCCCATCTGTGGGGCATTCTCGCTTCGCGACGACCGTACCCGGTGCCAGACTGCTGCTGACATTTGGATCGACTGGACTCCCGGCTTGACCATCGCTGAGATGCTCCGTGTCTCAATCGTTCTGCTTGTGCTGACGTTCTTGTTATCAGGTATGAGAAGCGGCAGGAGATGCGGAAGGAGGCCCGTTAATCTGACGGTTATCTCATCTGATACAAGGAGCTCTTCCTAATTCAGCTCCTGATTGATCCGCAGACGACGGAGTCAACGGAGGTTCCCTCGACTCGGACGAGAGCAGTGAGGAAGGTTTGCTTCTGCCACCGAGATATCTACCAACACTATTATTCTCTTGATTTCGAGCTCAAGCGGCAAATCCATCGGACCAATTCCCACTCAGACTATCTTCCCCTCCGTAGATGTGCGCATGAAAGGTCACGGATGTCCATTCTTCCCCGAGAAATGTGCGGATCATTGCTTCAAGCTCGGCCAGGTGCGGTATGCCTGCGCAGGAGCTCTTTCGATGACTTGTGCGTGTTGATGATGATGATATCAAAATTCTTCCCCTCCGTATCGTGTCCACCTAATCGTCATTCTCTCATCTGACGAAGGGAAAGATCAATGGGTTGAAGCGCGATGCAGCGCGTCACGGGTCTCGAGCTCCCCAGATACAGCGAAAGCACCGATTGATTCGAGAAGACCGATCTCATGAATCACGATAAAAAGACGGGAATAATAAATAATATGAAAATACATCGAATTTATTCACTATACTCGAATACATTGTAGGACTTAGGATAACGCGAAGCTGTATCGCTCTCTGTAGGACCTCTCCATGTCCTCTGACTTCCTACGGATACGTCGGCCGATGGGCTCGAGATCGTTGTAGCAGAAAGGAAACACTCTGAAGTCAAGCAGGGAAGGAATCAGATGGACGCCACTTGGTCATGGATCACTCCGCGGAAATAGATGTACTACTTACTTATCGACAGCTTCTTCGGCTTGTTCTTTCGTCAGGCTCGATGATGCCATCACAGACTTGACTGCCTTCGTTCTGACGCAATTCTTGTGCGTTGCTCCAAAGTCGAATGGTGAGGTCTCTCCCTGGAGCATCGCTGTCATGAACGAGCAATGCAGGATGTTCGCGGCCCGCACCTTGAGCGTGAGGCATGAGGGATGAGTTCGATGCCCCCGATTTCACGTAAGAGAGCTTGAGTGGATCTGTTTTTTTTTATGATATGGAAGCTTAAATCATATGCGACCACGGCGTACTCACTTCCGAACAAGCAACGTGCTCCGCATTTTTGAAGTCGAATTTTGCTCGACAGAAGTCGAACATGTGAATCATTTCATGTGCGAGGTTCGACTGTATAACTCCCCGGGAATGAGACCCATTCTGGCAAATGATTATCTGGGAAGGATCACAGGTCTCGAATTGGTGAGCGGATACCGATCGAGAAAGTCTAATGGACGCGATCAGCGGCCGGAAATCAAATATGAGAGTATCGGTGCTCACCTGATTCATTTCAGCGTCGAATCCACCTGTCACGTCCGGGTGACACGGTTCACATGAGATATGTCGCTTAGGATCAATATCGCAGCCCGCCGCCCTCAAGGCATACATCATCGTCTTCACCAGAGGTGAAGTGTCCATGCACTTCTGTACGGCTACCTCGCATCTATAGAGGAACAGCGATCGTGAGTGGATCGGGCGCGACAGAAGCTCGATCAGGTCCAAAAGGTTTCGGGCAAGAATGTTTTCACAAAGGGAGCGGGTTGGTGACTCACCTGATTTTCTCAACCCTCGGATTGCTCCACATGAACCCGAGGGCTTTCTGTAGGTTTGTCTTGGAGTTCTCTCTCCTCTCGGGGTAGAGGTCGAAGCCGCTCGCGTCTTGAGGCGTCGCATTAGTTTGCACCATCTGTGTCGAGAGAAGTCCTCACGTCATCCATTGATTTAGACTCCCCGAAGGTAGCGATGCCAATCGCACCTCGAGCGGAGATCAGGGTTGAACTTTCTTGTCGTCGGATTAAGATCATCATCTCTGTTTCACGATGGGTCATCAGTCATCGCATAATCCTCTATCATTTCAATGTCACTCCTCCATAGGGAGATTTCTCCTCCACAGGGATACGACCACAACGCTCAGATTGCGAGAGCATTCATGGGGGCCTCGTTCAGATAAGCTTCCACAGTATAGGGGCGAGCACGGGGCTGCTGCGGTCATAATTCTGTCCACTGGACTATTAGCGGGGCAGTCCCGGTTGCTTCGTGGACGGACCGAGTCCGAACCTCAGTAGCTCCAATCATATCCGGGAAGAGCTCTTTCAAGTGGGACGACAGCGCTCCGGACTCTGCTCGATAGGATTCAACCAAGGATCCAGGCCACGAAGACCTGAGATCAGCTATGCAGAACGAGATGAAAGCGAAATTCTTTGAACCAATGACGTTTTCTTTATTTCGTTAAAATTTCAACCTCCATTTTTTTCATACTTTACTTGTTTTCTTTCATAGTGCTTTTTTTATTACGTTCGCTCTTCATTGCTCTTTTCTTTCTTTCATTCATCTCCATCGATAGTTTAATTCCTGCAAATGTACAACGATGTACAATGTTATCTGAGGGCGGCAGCTCGTGCAGCAAATCTCGCTGCAGCCTTAAAACATTCTTGAAACAAATGACCGGATTGTTGAGCAAGCGACGCGACGCTTGACCACGGGACAGATCCATGTCAATCGATCCGTTTGCTCGTCCGTCCGTCCGTTCGTCCGCTTGTTTTTCTGTCAGTTGCCTCCACCCGCTCGTCCGTTCATCAGCTTCGCCATCGGCTCCACCATTATAATCATGATGATGAGTAACGGCGGTTTTCCTACGATGGCATCATTATGATTTCAATATCATTTAGCGGCCGAGAACGCGTTTGCCGATCGATATTTAAAGTATGTATAGTGCGGCGGCTTGCCCCCCGGACCCGTTAGCTGGGGTTCCTTCCTGCAGCCGTCGAGCATCCACGAGTCGGTGAGTTCGCGCTGCTGATTCGTGCAGTTCGAGTCGAGCCACTTGTCGTGCCAGACCTGGAAGCGATGCTTGAGTCTACACGAGGTTATTCGGGCTTCTCGAACGGCTTTCTCTCTCGATATCTGATTGTACAGCAGACTCGAGTTCTGTATGACGAAAACTGTCTTGAATTTTGTCAGTTCCAGCTTACAGATGGCACCCTCTTCCACTCGAGGCTTCTTGAATTCTTTGATTTCGACTCCGGTCTGGGCATTCCGGCGTTTGCGGGCGTTCCGCGGGAGGAACACCGGCTTCTTGAGGAGTCGTTCTCTGACCTCCTCGCAATCGTCGATGGATTTATCGATGAAAGCCGCCCATTTCTCGATATCGCCCGCAGTCGAATCGTTCTCGTTCGACTCGTTCGTCTCGGTGTCGATAGCCTCGAAGGTGACCTTGGCTTCCGAATGATAGATGAGTACCTTATAGCAATTTTCGTTCTCCATGAATTTTTCGCCTTCGGCCTGATAGTGGTTCTCTTGAGAGGCTCGTAACGCCGCTGTGCTACAAGCTCCGCCGGCGTAACCCGCTTTCTTGTATTGCTGAATGTATTTCGTACATTTGATCGACGTCTCGTCCGTCACAAGGTGCTGCAGTTGTCGAGTCGCGTTCTGAACGACTTTGTCAATGGTGAACGCGTGGTAGGCGTTGATACCGAACAGCTCGCGCAGCTGATCCTCGAACTGCGAGCTGTCCAACTGGCCGTCGAGCAGCTGCTTGATCATCTCGATGAACGTATTGAAATACTCTTCGACCGGCACCTGTTGTTGGGGCTTGAGACGGAGCGCCACGGCGACGGAGTCCTTTCGATTGGATTTGTCTTTTTCCTCATCGTCGAGCAGTACTTGCGCGTACTTGTTTATTGTGGCCAAGCGCTCGCATAGAATGTGGTGCAACCGCAGAAACAGATACCAATGGCTATCTCCCATGAAAAGTGTGTAGGTCTCGTCGCTGGTCTTGTTTTCCAAAAACATCGGGGTTGCCAATTCGTCGCTGGCGATCGGGCCTAGATCACCGACGGTCTCCTGCTCTGACCCCTCGTCGTCGGACATCTCCTCCGCCTTGAGGTTGAGAATCTCTGGAAGAACCTTCCGGACGAGCCACTTGATGCGTTGCTTGTCCTCTTTGTTGACTCCGGATTGTCGTCGGACGTAGTGGATGATGAGATTTGAGGCTTCTTTCACCATATCCCAGTTCGCGGGGTAGTGCAGCTGGAAGTGGGAGCCCGGTGGCGGGTTCTCTTTCTGGCAGTGCTCCTCGTACGCTGTTTCGATGTCGTTGAGGAGATTCTTCGAGCGGATGGTCTTCGAGTCGGTCTGCTTGAAAGTCATGCCCTGGTGATCCAGAGAGCGCAGATAGTATTTGTCCATTTGCTCCCGCCAGATATTGTTGAATGCTTTCTGAGCCTCCCGCCACTCTTCCTCTTTGCTCCTCAAGCGCTTCAGGACGACTGCAACCACGACGACGGGGTTTTTCTTCAGACCTTCAATGACATCGCCGGCCTTATCTCCGTAAATTCGACGAATGGCGCGCTGATGGATTGTCGACGACGTCCCTCCGAGACAATCGTCCAATCGAAAACGTGACCTTTCCTCGAGACTCATGCGATTGATTTTCTTCTGCACGGTTTCGAGCACGCGTATGGTGGCAAGGTTCGCTTCGATGACGATGTCCAGCTCGAAACGTTCGTCCTCGCACCGGTATATATGCTCCTCGAATTGGGTTTTCTTTGAACTCACAAATGTTGAATCTTCACTCCACGATGGAAAGCTGACCCAGGCGTCGTTCAGCACTTCTCGGCACAGGTTCGTCCGCCCCGAGCATTTCGGCTGAACGTAGTTTTTCGGCATTCCACGGTAGGACGCGCCGTACCGCTTGCAGGCAGTGAAATCGATCTCCTCTGGTGGCATGATTCTTGGATGATTCGGGGAGTTATTGTTGTTCTGATTATTATTATTGTTGTTGTTATTGTTAGACTGGCGCTCGTTACCGGAGCCGATCTGATTTTCAACAATTTGGGTGAAATCTTTGAAGCCAATGAAATCCTTGAACCATTTGAACAAGTCCGGAAACTTTCCCAAGAACGGCGTCACTAGATGAACCAGCTCGGATTTCGAAACCACTTCCTGGTTGTAAAGGTTGAGGCAACGAAGGAAGTTCTCGTAGACCTCGGGATTCCTGAGGGCTTTACGGACTTTCTCGAAAAAGGCATACTCGTTCAGAGTGCCATGTTTTCCGGCGTCGTTGATGGTGATCTCGCCCTTGGAGAACTTCGTTCGTTTCGTTGGTATTCCCGTGGATGCTGAATTGAGTTGAGGATTGCTCCTCACGGGTTTGCTCGTTGCCTGGGGTGGTGCCTGAGGTGGCGCCGAACGCGGTGTTTTTTCCACGGGCATGAGATTTTGCATATTGTGAGCATAAAGAGCCTGCGACGTAACTTTGCTGAATTCGATTGATGATGACGTTGGACCCCCATTGGCGTCGGGGAGGAACTTGCCGAACTCCTGTAGTAGATCGTCCTGATCCTCAAACAAAGCCGCGACTTGCTGATAAACCTCAGATTCAGACAAGGAGCCCGACGACTCTCGACTCTTCTGATCCTTCTGATAGGTATGGAGGATGTCGAGGAACTTCTTGTACACATCGGGTTGACCCGCAAAGCGATTTTTGATCTTGTTCACGTAGTTGATGGCATGGTTGAACTCGACTGGCGCCTGAGGGGGACTTTTCGGTGGGATATTCGGAGTCGGCGGGCCATTCGGATGAATTGTGTGACATACATTACTGCCGGGAATGGAGATGTTCACTTGCTCGTTGCCTTGAAGCTCGATCTTGTAGCCAGGCGGTAAGAACGTATTGAAGCCCACAATGAGTTCCGGATGGCCTCTGAACAAGTTGGAAACACGCTGGATGACGCCAGGAGTGTCGATACTCTGGGACTTGAACTCTTTCATGATGTCGAGGAAGTCGTTGTAGACGTGAGGTTGGCTGCCAAACTTCAGCTTCACGAGATCAAGGTAGGATAACGCATCTTCTACTTTCAGTCGTTGGAACTGACCTCCCTGACCACCACTTGGCGACGGAGGTGCACCCTGACTCGAACCAGCACGATTTCCAGAGCCATATTCTTCTCGGGGAGCACCTCGGCCCGGGCCTCCAGTGCCGACCGACATCCGCTGCTGGCCGTACCCTGCGTTCATGGCTACACAGCCGAATTCCTTGAGCTACCAACTGCTCTGGTCTGCTTTTGGTTGTCCTGACACTTGAATACGTCTCGTATTTCCACCGATATCGTAACACGAAATCAAGTCGAAGTGCAGCGACCTAAACCGTCGTTTCGTTCGCCATCTTGTAAACAGACTCTGGCTGGGGAAGCCATGGAAGGTTGCTTGAGCATTCGGAGCCCGCTGACGTCACTGTTTGCCGCCATTTTCTCTGCGACTCACGACGCCTCAGTCCTGGAGCCGATTTCGTTGATTTCCACCTCCAACAGAGTGTCGAAGTACGCGAACGTCGTGACGACGCTCAAAATACACGGCCGGCTACTCAATCATGTCGAACCTGCGCTCTCGGAAAATACGGCATGGCGGAAGCTGAGCAACTCGCGTCACCATCTTATAGGGGTTCTATGCGGAAGCGGTCAGCTGTTATGGCATTTTACGCATTTTCGGGCATCACTCCATTCATGTACAAACCCAAACAAACTCGGATCGAATGCTCTTGATATAGGTCTAGTGAGCGGAGAAACATGTGATTTTCGATTAGCGATGCCCAAAACAATCCCCTATTAGCGCAGGGAAGCCACTCGGTCGGGGGGTGGGCTTCCGGAATATGGAGCTCCGAACTAAATTATTGCGGGAGTCGTTCACGTTCGGAAGGCTTCCAGAGCCAGGAGAGCATCCTGGACTTCTGCTCGAGACTCAAGCTTCACAATTAATCTGAAGATACTTGACGCGCTTCGCGCTGTAGAGCTCAAGAAGCGCGAGGGAATGGAGAGTGACATCGTTCGCTCCGAGAACCTCTATTTTAATTGCGATATCAAGTGCGTCTGAGAATCGCTTCCGCACCTACCTTTTCACTATGCGAAGACACGGAATTCTTGAATCGAATTTCTTTCAAATACACGCGATGACCTTTTCTAGCCAGCCATTACAGTGCAGACACATGGCGCCAATTTCGAATTGCCGTTAGGGAGGGGGGCGCGGATTCGTTCCGGAGACTCATCTCATAACGTACACTGCGGAGCTTAGAATCCAGATAGATTGGGGTAGATCTCTCACCGCCACATACGCGCTCCCTTCGTCGTAGACTTACATTTTTTCGACATGAGCCCCGAGCGCGCAGAGGCTGCGGCCATTGAATATACCTCTCACTCACTCAGTTAGTCAGTTAGTTGAGCATTCTGCCATCGCGGATCGATGCCGGAAGCCCGCTGTAGAGCTCCGTTGCGCAATGCTCTACCGGGTATTGCGGCCGATGCTGGCCTTTTGAATTAGAGGGACATGAGACTACGAATCCAGAGGTCTCTGCCCCCGCGGGCTACAAGGAGCGCGCTGAAAATCGACCCCCGCCTCCCGCGATTTCCGCTCTCCGGCGGGGAGATACCAGGGAAACTGTGCCAGGAGGACAGAAAGTACCAGTATGCGGGAGGGGAATCTTGGCATCGCGAGGCCTATCGATCATCATCACCCTCACACCCCCGTATAATCGACAATCCAGCCTATACCATGAAACTCTTTGTGTACCTATCAATGTATTTCCTGGAGGGTTGCAGCTGGCTGGAAATTTCGAAACGAGCACAAACTCTCGACATTCCTTCTATGCAGAATCATTCGCTCCAGATGACTCCCTCAAACCTCGCCCGTCTCCTTACCGACGTGCGATGAGCGTCGAGAGGCTGATGGAATCAGCGATATCCAAGGCTTGCTTCGGGGGCTGCTCGTCAGTCCTGATCCGCTCGCGCGCGGACGTATGCTGCGCGGCTGGGTAAGACTCTACGATGAATGCAGCCATGAGAGCGAAGAGGATAGCGTTTTGAAATCGGGATGGAGCCACAAGACTTCTGTCGCTTAGTCAAGGGAGCGCCGTCGTCGACCTCTTCTTCGAGTAGGAGGACGAAGGAAAAAAGGACTGCCTCTCCGTTGGAACGCTTGCAGTCGAGCTGGAGATTATCATTCGAATTTACTACGGGAGAATCCCCCTATATAATAAAATCGCTATGTCTGTCTGACACCAAACCAAATACTTTTCCGATCGATGCGCAATCACCTCAGTGAGGTCGAGATATATTTCCAAACTGCCTAGCCGCTTGTGTTTCATGAAGAGCCAAGATCGACCTTGTGCGAGATGTTCCCCCCGCGACGCGCCAATGATCTTCGGCCCCCGAGGCGATGCGGCGTGGAAGGGGGAATTCGGTCGCTAAAGTTCCGGTATATCCCCCTTGTAATCACGCTACATGACCATCTCGATCGTTCCTCAGGAGGGGAGAGTCTCCTCGACGCATACTATGGTGATATTTTGGAACTTCCTTCTTCTTTTGATTTTCGCACCGAAGACGGTGAGGCTAACATCCTGGCTGTACTCCTCGTTCCGGCCTCTGGGAAGTATCCCTCTGGGCTCGAGCATCGGAATAGAGAAGCTCAATTCTCATTTCTCATCAGATCAAAAACGGCCCTCTTCGCCCAGAAAGAACTCCACGTGACGACGAATCCCTATCGCGATTCATCTCGAGCGACCCCGGCTCCGAATTCAATCGGCTCGATTTCGAAAGTACGGGCATGGAGCATATCGGTTGTCCGATGTCCTCCTGCGTCAAAACATCCGACTATCTTTCTCCCAAACCGCTTCCATGGTGGGATGCTCAAGCCGAATTGACAGTTGCGCGCGTCAAATTCAAACATAATCTGTGTATGCGCCGCTTTCCCACCATGATGCCTGAGGTCGCTCGGAAAATCTTCGCGGAGTTCGAAGCGCAATATGCAGACTCCGTTCGGAACAAAAGGAGCTCTCAGGGCGCACTCTCGATTTTGGGAACGTACTCCTCTCTTAAGGACCGCGAATTTCCGAATGAAGCACCAGTAAACAGTGCTCTGGGAGCGCCCCGTCCCAAACTGATCCGAGCTCCATCGGGAGGTCTTTAAGGATGGTTTGTTTGTACTGTGCCTGTCGCTGTGGATTTGGCGGTTGGCTGTCTATCCGGTACTACAGAGGTCTGTGAGGTGTGTGCGCTCCATACTTGGAGCTAAACGAGCCCGTCAGAATGGGTTACCTCAAATACATCGAGGTAGAGAACTTCAAATCCTATCGGGGGCGTCAGATAATCGGGCCTCTGAAACCATTCACCGCCATCATCGGTCCCAATGGTTCGGGCAAGTCGAACTTCATGGATGCTATAAGCTTTGTGCTGGGAGAAAAACAGAAACAACTCCGTGTGAAACGTTTTTCGGATCTAATACACGGTGCTCCAATCGGTGAGTTCAGGATAAACTTTTGATTTACGGAACGATTCCCCGGAACGCCGGGGGAATACACGCCGCCGACGTCGCACCGAGTTTGACAGTAGCCCACACCGCTCCTTAACTCAGTACTTGCACACCCTGCGTCGCTTACTGAACCCTTTTTCGGGCGTACGGTCAATCTCAAGGTGAAAAAGAAGGATTGTTCGGAGTCACTCTCGAAGAGAATCCCTCCGGAGCACATTCGAGTGGTGCTCCACCTTGCCAATCGGTTTTGGCGGGTAGCTCGAAGCAGCACAAGTGCATCTGATCCTCTTCCGGGACCGCTCACGGGAAGCATTCTAAGCACTCATCGGATCTCGTGCATACTCGAGGAGGTTGGGGATAAGCTTGATACGCGGAGCCGTGGCAACTGAAGTCGCCTAAAGATTACATAGATTCGCTCCCTGTCCCGGATGCCTCCGATCGGAAAGTTACATCAACCGCTAGGCGCTCGGGTTCCTGCTGTACGTCGACAATGGGCTTGATTCCAGTGTCATTCCGAACGTATATTCTTCGCCGGACTTGGCGAAGGCAATCGATGCTGAGAAAAAAGTGCTCGAGTTCTAGAGCCCTCCGATCCCGCCCGCTGCGAGCTCCCCCTCCACCTTGGCATCCTCCCTTAACGCGAGGGTATTTGGCGCAGAACTTGCTCCTCGACGATTTATTTGGGTTTTCTTTTCGATGCCTCAATTCGAATCTTAACCCGTTTGTGGATAGCCCTGTTCCTTCCATCGATCCAGGGAACGAATCCGTGAGCTTTCTAGTGACTCAAAATGCGGAGGTTCCCGCTCATTATCTTATTGTCCAGTATCGCCCCGGCGGGTACGTCGATCCTGTCCCCGTGATTCGCTATGATTATCACCGTGCCTCTGAGAACCACTCCTTTTCCGAAGGTCACGTCGCCCGAGACTGTGAGGTGATCCAATTCCAGGATGTCTGGGATTGACTTGAATCGATCCAGGAAATCGCGCACCTGCATCGAAATTACCTCGAGTTGCGTGAGAGTTGCGATATCCCGATAACCAGTACGGGCTTAGTCTGCGTCTCAGCTAGGATTCTCTGTTTTTGAGGTGGAACCAAACCTTGGAAAAGTGTGCGTCTCCCAACTTGATGAGTGGCACACCAGCAAACGGTCTTTGAGGAGAAATGATGAGCGACCCGTTCTTCATGTTGTACAAGTTCGACATGGCCATCATGAGATCAGACGTTTTCTTGACTGGCAGGAACCTCGAACGGGGCACTCTGATTCCAAGAGCATGCTGGAAGTGATTGATCGCTGCTCCGGCTGCTGTCTCGAGTTGGATGACTTCGACGTGGTTGGATAAGCACTTCGGATTCACGATGATCTGAAAACACAAGCAGATGTCCATTCAGTATGCCGAACGAGAGAGTTTCCGATGGCGACCAATTGGCCCGAGGGGGACTTCGAATCCGTCGTCGGCTGACCTCTAGCTCTAGCGCGTTCTTTTCCACGATTTCTCTGGTCTCGTCGAGTCTAATCCACAAGTTATTGGTGTTGAAAATCTTGAATTTGCTGATAGACTTGAACTCCTCGATGTGGTCCGGTGGCACCTGAGCGATTTCCAAGAGTTTCACGTGGTTCTCGTACTGAATGAGGGTTCCACCTGAGCGGGATAAACCCTTCAAGATTATTGAGGCGACGACCCGCGATTAGAGATCGCTGTCTCGCTTGTTATCGAACTCCTTGTGTCATTACGCATCTCTTGATCCTTGCCTTTAATGTCGGCTCGCGTTTTATCGGTGAGCTCCATAACGAAGCCAGGTTTCGGAGAGGATTCCAAGAGGAATTTCAGAATGTTAAGGTCTACTGAGGCACCCAAGTTGTCGATGTTCGAAATAAACACGTACTCGCGACCCTCGTCCAGGAAGTGCTGCAGCAGACCGGACTGAAGGAACGATTCGTAGAAGTCCCCGTGCCCTGTATTTTTCGAAAGACGTGGTTGGTCGTGGTTGGTCCCATATTCAGTTCGATATATACGACTTGATAGGACCAATATCCTACCAAATTAGGTATTAGGCGCTGTGTTTCTTGATAGGCTCAACTGACCTGGCGGGTAGAATGCTTCTTTATTGTCGTCTTGGAAAGACTTCGTAATGGGCATCAAAGTCTCTTTGCTAATACGGGGAAAACGCGATTGTTTGAAGCTGTAAATCTGCACTTGGAAGCCATTGTATTTGCGTAGAATTTGTTTCGTATCTTCTTCGGTGTTGAATGAATTCATCAGTACCAAGGGAACTTGGCAGTCATATTTCTTGTTCAGGTGCTGAAATAATGTCGTATGAATCCCATCTAGGGACAGTTGGGCGGAAGCCTCGCTATCTAGATCCATTGGGGCGGAGCGTCGGCTCCGGGAGCTCCGAGTCAATATGAACTCGATTCCACGTCGACAGAGGACGTACCTCGATTTGTTGGACCGTCAAGTCGAGGAAGGTCAGGTCGTTCCGGACCGAAATCGCACTCTTGGGTCCCTGACATCCCATAGACGTTCCCAAGCCGCCGTTCAGTTTAACCACGACTAATTTTGCAAGCATCGATTTCACTTGCTCATCCGATGGAGTTTCCAGCGAAGCGTAGTCCTGAATCGCGTTCTGGGGGAGCGGTTCGATTTTTTCCCAATCGATTCGAGGACTTGCCGATAGGTATCGAGTGAACAATCGCTGGAATCTTCGGAGCTCATCTTCAACGGCCTGTCGAAGCAATGAATTCAGACACTGACAATGATTTCGGAGAACCCCCTATGAGAGAATTTTAGGAGGGACTCTGGAGCTAGTATCGTCGAGAACTCACATCTTTCTCCGATGTACAAGTGCTCACTAACGACTCGATTTCGTTGAGCATAAGGACAAGAGCGTCTCTCTTGGTCAATTGCTTGAACTGGGACACCTCGGAGATCTTCCGAGGTCCTCCCGATCTCCGGCCGCCCTGCATCTGGAACGAATATACAGTACATGGATCGGATCCAGGTGGCATTCACTACCCTTCCGAGGAGCTCGAGACGCGCGAACGGAAGTTTTCATGTGAGCTGGCGCCGCCCCGCGGAACTCGTGCTTGTCGGCTGTCAGAATCAAGCGTGAGGACGCAGTGACGCCGCGTCGCCACGTACACGATCTGCGCACCTCCGTTATTCTCCGAATCGACCATGCTGAGAGGAGCCCACCGGGTCGACCCGTCCAATTTCGGAGAGCTCCTCTTCCGGAGTTTCCCCGGGAAATCTCGCATCAAAGAGCAATGAAATCAGGGGTTTACTCACTTCGATCCGAGGTCACAGTCGCGATATTGAACTCTGAATTCCGGAGTCGCCGATCGCGGCGTGAGAAAAATGCCTATGCTGTGAAAGTGGAAGCACGCGAGTGCCGAGTGTTCCACAACCACAAGGGCTGCCCTCGACGTTCATGGTTGCTCGTTGGATCTTGGTATCGCTCTCGTTCTCTCCGCGCTGTCTTTGTCGAGCTTATCAACCGGTGGCGTTTCGCGTGCTTATAGTCGGTAGAGCAGCAAAACAAGTAGATCTTCAAGAAGGTCATCTCGCAGCAGGTCGGCAAAGAATGGAAGCAGTCTGTAGGTAGGGACCGGCGCTTGGCTGGATCACTGCCGAGCTCGATCACTCGACCTTGAGCGATTGCGAGAGATTACTTCCTCGTAGTCTCTCCCGAACGAATTCGGAATGAAAAATCCGCTCCTCGGAGAGAGTGAGTTCCGAAACAATGCTGCGTGTCGCTCGGTCCGCCTCGAATCGCACCGATGGCATAATGTCGACGTCGACTAGAGGCTGTCGAAGCCCATGCAGGGTACTCCGATGGCTTCGAGGATCTTGGGGAGATCCACCCTTGACTCAGCATTAGACATTATCTCATTGCGCGAAACTCGAATCCCATGAGCGAAATTCAGATATGCTTATTCAGAGGAGATAGGAGATAGGAGAATGGAGGCGGCGCGCGGGAACATATCCCTGACTTTGGTAACTGGCGGTTGTCCCGGCTTGGAGAGAAAGATTCGTTGGGCGAACGTGCGATAAGCACTCGGGCGGCGCGATACGTCAGATAGTAGGAATCAACTAATATCATTCATGTTCTCAGGTCAGCCGGTGGCCTCTCGAGCGCACGTCAAAGCAGTATATGAACACGATGACGGAACGGAGCTGCAATTCACTCGCATGGTCACGGGTTCAACGTCTGAGTACTTCATCAATGGCATTGCCTGCTCTTCGGAGCACTACCTCCAGAAGCTCGAGATTCTCGGCATCAACGTAAAGGCGAAGAATTTCCTCGTATTCCAAGGTGCCGTGGAAAGTATCGCCATGAAGAACCCGAAGGAGCGAACGGTTCTCTTCGAGGAGATCAGTCGGTCAGGTAAATACAGTTTTCGAGAACTCGGGTGTCGCGTGGGACTTCTGGATTCGCAGGTGGAGTCGGGCCCATTCGTAGCCGATACGGATTAGCACTGACGTTTTCCGACTGTCCCCAGGCGATCATAAGGCGGAATACGAGCGTTGCAAAAAGAATGATGGCAGCCGAGGAGGAGACTCAATGTACCTATCAGAAGAAGAAAGGAATAGCAGCGGAACGAAAGGAAGCCCAGATGGAGAAGCAAGAAGCGGAAAAGTACCAAAAGCTGAAAGTAAGCATACCACGTATGTCCTCAAATTCCCCGGGTTTTTGTGATTCCTCAACGGCCCATGTCCGGAGGGGCAGTTCGCGCCGCGCCGTTCTGAGGTTGTTCTTCAGAGTCTTCTGATGTGGTACAGGGGAGGAAGGTAGGCGGAAGGGGGGGAACTCCCCTAAGAGCTCGTCATGCAGCTTCCGAAGGAGGGATCGAAGGGTCCGTCACCTGGTTCGACCCCAGACGGTGGTAAGGAGCTCGGAGCCCCTCGCAAACGTCGTTCTAATTTTGTAACACTCCGCCCTTCAGGAAGACGTAGGCACGAAACAAGTCAATTTGCATCTGTTCCGACTCTTCCACCAAGAACGAGAGAGCCGGGAGTGCTTCGAAGACCTTGAGAAGCGGAACATTCAATTAGCTGATGTCAATAAGAAGAAAGAGCGGATCGAGAACGAGCTGCGGGAGAAAAAGAAAGACGTAAGCATCGAATGCATCAATCTCATCAGCCGAATGTCTGAGTCGAATATGAAAAGTGATCTTCTCGTCTATCGCAAGTAGAATTCGTGAGGGAACTTGCTTGACCGCTGGTGACTCACAAACTTCTCTTCGATGTACAGGTGGGTAAAGCCCAGCGAGAATTGGCGAAAGTCGAGCAGACCTTCAGGGACGCAGATGTCGAGCTCAACAAGCGGAAGCCGGCATACATACGAGCGAAAGAGAAAACAGCTCATACTCAGAAGAAACTAGACGCGGCTAAGAAATCCTTGGACGCCGCCACAAAGACCCACAGGTACGGGACTCTCATACCCAGGAACCGTCCGTGGAATATTCTATAATTGGCCCAAATACAGATAGCCCTTCTTCTCCGCTTCTTGTCGTTATAAATTTCTTACGGAAAAGCTTGCCAATTCCTCAGGAGCCATCAGGGCGAGATCGAGGAGCTCGAGCAGGAATTGTCACAGGTGGAACGGAAAATCGAAGCTTTCGATCAAGAGAGTATAGAAACCGCTCAGAAAAAAGGTCGCGATGTTTCTCTTGAAGAGAGTCAAGTGAAGGAATACAATCGTCTGAAAGAGAAAGCCGGGAAAATGGCTTCGGCTGCACTGCAAGAATACGACTCGGTTGCTCGCGATCAGAAAACAGATCAAGATCATCTCGACAACGAGTTGCGAAAACGCAACGAGTGTGAGGCCAAACTGAAGCAGAAGAAATCAGAACTGGAGGAAAATCAGCGACGAGTTAATAAATTGGTCGATTACATTAAAACGAGCGAGAGCTCGTTGCACGATTTGAAGTGAGTGTGAATTCGGAGAAGCGAATATCTTTCATGTGGGATGTTTTTCGATCGTTTCTCGCTTCGAACTAGAGTCCCAGAGCGGGAGAGATGCTCACAGAAGGGCGGCGATTGATTTTCAGAGAGGAGGAGCGCAAACTCCGAGTGGAGGTAGTTGAAGCCAAGAAGCGACATCAAGACCTCAGTCAGAAATTCGAAGACGTCTGTTCCTCTTTGGGAGATGCCAAAGTTGACAAACACGAAGACGCTCGCCGCAAGAGGAAGTCCGAAATCGTCGAGCACTTCAAGAAACTTTATCCCGGTGTTCACGATCGTCTTGTGAACCTCTGTCACCCGATCCACAAAAAGTACAACGTGGCTCTCACAAAAGTCTTGGGAAGGAATATGGAAGCCATTGTGGTGGACACGGAGAAAACCGGTCGAGCATGCATCCAATACCTTAAAGAACAGATGCTCGAGGCCGAGACCTTCCTACCGCTCGACTACATCGACTTCAAACCTCTCAAGGAGCGATTGCGTGAATTCAAGGACGTTCCAAACGTCAAGCTACTCTACGATGTTCTGAAATACGAGCCGCTATCCATCAAGAAAGCCGTGCTCTACGCAACGAATAATGCTCTAGTTTGCGAAACAGCCGAAGACGCTGCCAAGGTCGCCTTCCAAGCACCCGACGGGAAACGTTACGATGCGGTCGCCCTCGACGGAACGTATTATCAGAAGAATGGCTTCATATCAGGAGGGAGCTCTGATCTCGCAAAACGAGCAAAGCGTTGGGACGACAAGGATTTCCATAAATTGAAAGGTATGTCTTCATTAGAATTCTGTTTTTCGTGGGTCGCCCACGTGGAATCTGATCGTGGATAGGAGCACTCGAGTCGAAGCGTGCGGAGTCGACTCCGGAAACGGAACCCAACAGATCAGATTCGTTTTGCTCTTCCAGATCAAAAGGAGAAACTGCAAGAAGATCTACGCGAAGCCATGAAAACCGCTCGCAAGGAGAGCGATTTGACCACAATCGAATCTCAGATCAAGGGATTAGAAACGCGTATCAAGTATTCGAAAACGGACAAAGAAGGTACCGAGAAGAAAGTCACGTCCTCCCTTCGGATAGAGATAGAGAAGCTCGAGAAGGACTATGCCACATTCGAACCGCGCATCAAACAGCTCGAGCAGAGCATGCGCGAGCGTGAAGTTCGGATCAACGAAATCAAAGCGAAGCAAAACACCGTCGAGGACGATGTCTTCCGGGACTTCTGCGCGCAAATTGGCGTGGCGAATATTCGAGAATACGAGGAACGGGAGCTGCACGCCAGTCAAGAGCGCGAGAAGCAGAGAGCGGATCTCGAGAATCAGAAAAACAGGTGAGGCCCCAGACCGCAACAGATAGACGATCCGATAAGAAGCTTTCGGGAGCGTCAGCTGTAATTTCGGAGATCTTGAACTCAGAAGACTTTCTTCAACTATTTCAGAGTGGCGTCTCACCTCGAATATGAACGCACGAAAGATACGCTAGCATTGGTGAACAAGTGGACCGCGACTGTGGAACTGGATCAACAAGAGCTGGAGAACCTCAAGGAGATCGAGCAGAAACAAAAAGAACTTATCGAACAGCAGGTCAATCTGATCTCCCAACTGAAGAACGAGCGAGCCGTGAAGAAGAGCAAAGTCGACGAAATCGATGAGGAGGTTGCAGAAATTCGGAAACGACTCACTACTCAACAAAAAGAAGTCACTGCGGTGCAGAAAGGCGTAACGCAGGCCGAAACGAAGCTCGAGCAGAAGCGCAGTGAAAGGCATACCTTCCTGCAGAGCTGCAAGCTCGAAGGGATCCGTATTCCGCTCATATTAGGCAGCATGGAAGACATCGTTCTGCAGGAAGAGGACGAGGTTAACCCCGCAAACCAGGGCAATCAAATGCAGCAGATGTACGAGAGAGAAGCCGCACTCAAAATCGACTACAGTCAATTATCAGAAGAGCAACAAGAAGTCGACACGTCTGAAGAAGTGAGGAAGATCACGGCTAGGATGGAGAAGGAAATCAACGATATGACCAATATGCTGCAACGAATCCAGGCACCCAACTTCAAAGCAATGGAGAAGTGAGTATCGCATCATGGCCTGCTGATTTTTCCTCTTGTTATTCATCGTTTTATTCTCCGAGCTCATATGGAATATGGACACGGTAGCGCTCAACCTCATTCCGCTTTCCTCATGGTGCTGAAACGCCCGAGATGACGTCAGGGTGGATCGAGGCGAGGACTTCCGGGATCATGGAGTGTCAGTGAATCGAGGAGCGCGTCGGTATAAAGATTTTTTTGCCAACAGACTCGACAGCGTCAAGGAACGCTTGAAGGACACCGATACAGAATTCGAGCACGCGCGAAAAAAGGTCCGGAAAGCGAAGTCGAATTTCGAGCTGGTGAAGCGAGAGCGTTTCCAGAGATTTAACACCTGCTTCGAGCACGTCTCAAACTGCATAGACGACATCTATAAGTCGCTGACCAACAATCCTTCAGCCCAAGCTTTCCTGGGTCCAGAGAACCCAGAGGAGCCATACTTGGAAGGTTAGCTTATCCGCAGAATCGCTGAATCCTCCGAACACATCGGAGCTTGGCACCCTTGAAGCCTGTTCGATCGTGATATAAAAATGTAATACTGATTGATCGGCCCATCCATTCCAGGTATCAACTACAATTGCGTCGCTCCAGGTAAACGGTTCCAACCGATGTCGAATCTGTCCGGTGGAGAGAAGACAGTCGCCGCCCTTGCCTTACTTTTTGCAATTCATTCCTATCAACCAGCTCCTTTCTTTGTGCTCGACGAGATCGATGCAGCCCTCGATAATACCAATATCGGCAAAGTTGCTCGATTTATCCGAGAGAAAACCCAAACCTCATTCCAATGTATCGTCATTTCGCTGAAAGAGGAATTTTACGGGCATGCCGATTGCCTCGTGGGAATTTGTCCCGACCCCGGAGAATGCACGATCTCGAGAATCTATACAATCGACCTCTCTAATCACGAGGATACCTTCACTTAGGTGCCGAGGGCCAGAACGGGCTGGGGAGAGGGGCGGCCGGTGGGGTAATCACGATTAGTACTTCGACCAGTTTGAATGATCCCAACAACCTTGTACATACTAAAAACAGCCAAATGATGAGCGAGCGAAACACGGTATATCAATATAAATGATTGAGTGGATGGTGAACATTCGATCCATGTAATTATTATCGAAGTCGTCTCTAAATATGCGTATATAATAAAGGATGTAATCAATCCGAGTAAATAAATGAATTCTGGTGCGGGAACGTACGGCTCCTCCTGATTCTCATCATCATAATCCGTTCAGAGAACTTCCAAACAAATATGGGACAGAGATCCTGTCGTAGAATTCATCAGCATCACTGCTCTGACCTAATCTAGTTTCGGTTTCTACTTCTCGAAGTTCAACGCTGTGCGACCGGAAGGACGCCTGCTTAGTGTTCAGTGTAATGACCCTTGACAAGGCGATCCGCACAGAGCCTGGTGGGATGGAAAAATAATATTCACCGTCAAGAGCGACAGATTAAGGCTACTTCAGTTTCTAGACCCGGAGTTCTTTGGATTTACGATTTGTATGAAACATATGGAAGGATCAACGCGATTTTTTCCCATTTGTTCGTTGGAATCTCTTCGCTTCTCCCGGTCTAGGGCAGCACAGACATCGAGGGCGCGCCCCCCAGCAGAAACTCTCCTCAAGCTCGGAATTGTGCCATGGGATAGACCGGCCATCGAGAATTCTGGAAAGGCTTCTTCGCGTAGGCGTCATTCTCAGAGATGATGATGATGATGATTGGTTGCGATGCATGGAGCAAGTCCCCCCATTGTTCGGATGCAATTCACCGTCTGCGTATGGGCTTAAGTTCTCATCTTACATCAGCGCTTTTCAGACGTTCACGTTGTTTACCGCTGTTCCGCGTTCTTTCAGCGGATGCCTTCCATTCGACAGGTTTAATCGCTGGCGGTCAGCCTAGCTCTCGATGGGAGCGGAATTATGTTCGGGTCCGTTCGCTGGCTGGCAGAGAGTACCGTGAATCCGCTTCAAGAGTTTCACCTACTCCGCGTCATAAAACGCGAGAAGGAAAGGCCGACGGTTTCTTGGAGAGTTGAGAGTCCGAGCCCATGATCGCGAGTACTTGCAGAAAACCCGCGGGAGTATTTTCTTCAGTACACGAGTCCAGCAGCTTTTCTGAGCCAAGGGATGAATCCCAGAAACGAGGCCAAAGTTCACACGATGAGGCCGCGCTATTTATACCTAGATGAAGCACTCGAAGTATCTTGAATGGAAATTAGGTAACGGAACTCTCTCGTCATTCATTCTCTCCTAATCCAAGGCGGCAGAAGTCCGAGGGAGCACTCGAACCAGAAATTTCTGATTCGTACACTCAAGAGCCACGTCGCTCGAAAACTCCTCCCCTTTCGCTTGGGCGCCAGCTGCGGAATAATGAATCGCTCCTCATATTCCAAAATCTCTCCTCGAGCGTGAGTCATGGGAATGCTAATGCGGCGGTCTCTCAGACTTCGAATATGTTCCCGATAGAGTCGTCAACATTCACCTCCCATACCTCTCCGAATGTCGTCTCCCGACAAAAGTCAGCCTTGATGAAATTTGTCAGCGAAGAAACGTGGGAGAATTTTTGAGAGGATTCCGATGCATAAATCATCGTTCTCGCAGCATCGATACGTGGTTTCTGAATGGCTTCATAGCCATAGGGGGAGTCCGACTCCGAAATTAGGCACGTATTCGCATCGACAATGCGAAGGCACAGTGTCGATGACCAAGACTGACTGACTAACTGACTAAGTGTATTTCCATACAGGTTGGAGTCTGAGAATCAATGGAGGTTCATTTATTTCAGCTATCTGTCAAGAAGTCCCGGCATGAATACAGTGGACTGAATTTACGCCACTGTACCTGCAGCAATACAGAACAGGAGAGAAACTTCGTGCTTGTATGCAGGCGATGACTGGGTATATCCGAGCGATGTATTCTCGACCCGTCATTCACGTCGTAAAAGGTCCAAAATGTGGGGGAGTAGAAAGTTCGTATAGGAATAAAAAAGCTTCTCGCTCTCAGATACAGTCTCATGGGACGGAGCGACCTTTTGAGTGGTCGTCTACCTCATCTCATAGTCGGAGGCGCTCTAGGACGAGGAGGAACCCGTTTTCTGTGGAGCCGCCTCGTTTCGGATCCTATGCTCTGACTGGAAGAAAGTCTATTCTGATTTTGAGAGGATGGGAGCGCGGTGTAACAAGTAAACCAATGAATAGTTTTGATCAAGGCGGCTCGGGAACCAGGGCGGGGAGAAATTCCGTGAGCCCAGCACTCACAATCAGAGACCCGTCACTTGGAGATCAACTTTTTTGCGCGGGACATAGCTTCGCCCGCGTAGATTTCGGAGACACTCCAGGATTGAAGGGGCCCTTCCGAGTTTGGGAATCATCATCGGAACAGCTGATATTTTTGGGAGAATCAGGCGTCGGAATCCTGAGAATCTCGACACTTGGGCCGGCCCGGTAGAGATGCGAACGTCCTCGCTAGGGATCCTTAAGTCGGGGAGTATACCTGACGGGCTTCTCCTGTTCGTGGGGGACGTAGTAATTCCGAGTCGAAATGCTTTGCCTCTATTCGAGAGGGACAGTAATGCTTTACACATACATATATTTTCCGCGGGGCATAGGGAGAAACTGAAAAAACTTCAAAACATGCAACGAGAATAGAGAACATCCAGAAATCCCTCCCGGCAGTCTTCCATGGGGTGCGAAGCTTCGGAGCAGTCGAGAACGGAGGCCTCTGAGCCTCAGGTACACTGAGGCTTCGACACATTTAAGCACTAGCCGTGAGGACGCTTCGCGCCCTCGCGTGCCAGTGGAGCCGTGATGACATCATAGTGTAAAGGCTTTACATCTGCTGAAAAGCAGTGATGACTGGATACACACATAAACCTTGCGGAGAGCATGCGTCTACGCAGCCTTGAAGGTGTATCCTGATCTCACTGACGTGATTGGGCATGACGTGATTGAAAGAAAAGTCTGAAGTCAGGTCGGAGAAGTGAAGCGCCGAAACCTTGTTCGGTGACAGACTGACATGGCGATTTGATTCTATGGGGGGATTCTTCTCGACTCGGTCCCCGGAAAATCACGGAAAAGCTCCGGAGAGGCAGCACAAAGAACTAGATTTTTGTTTGCCGGAGAAAAAATGAGATTTCGGATGGAAGTTGTATTTTATTCGTGATACCACTAGATAATGTGTCGAGGACAAACTCATGTTGTCAGAGATTAGTGTTTGCTCGGACGTTAGCCCTCTGGAGACGACTCGAATGCTGAGGCATGCGTTGCAGTACCTCCAACGTCGCTCACCTCGTTCTCGGATGTTTGATAGTCGAATCTGCTCTGATGGTGATGATCGCCGAAAGAAGCAGTCTAGAGTTTAGAGAGTATCATCATATCTATTGACGATGTCTTATGATGGGAGTACGGGAGGACCTACGGAAGGGCGTCTGCTCCGGGAAAGTCATGAGACTACGAAAGAGAATGAGAACTCCGCGAGAGGAATCTCGACGTAGGTTTGAAATCATTTTCTTCGGGTTGTTCCGTTCTGCTACATCTTTACAAAACAAAAGCTCGACTCCATTTTTTTTGGGCGGGTCAAGTTCTGCTTCCGAGCTTCGATTATACGGTTTCTGATGGAGTGGTTCAGAACCCGAGTCGATCACGCTCATTTTGAATGCTTTTCCTTTGGGACCTCTCGCCCGGCCGATCCATCGACCGCTCTGTCTGGCTTCCTGCTCGCTCACCTGCATGCTTGCATCTCATCTTGCTCGTTCAATCAAACTATCCCCGTACGACGAATGGAAGCGCTGCTCATCAAATGCGTTCGATTTTTTCTATGCTTCGCCTTGCTCTAAGCTCTGGGACTGATTTCTCTAACTAAGCAAGTCGGTCGGCGAGCCGATACGTTCGAGCTCGTCGTCTGTTGTGGGCGATCTTCGAGACTCGTCGCACTAATCGACATGTTAGAAACTGAGTCGGAACGAATAACCTATGGGGGGAAATCCTTAGGTGACGCATTCTCCTGCGACACGGGCTCCTTAACCCTTCGATTCCTTCCGACCCGCAGTTAAGCGATACAGGGGAAACGAGGGGTGGAGGAGGAGCCCGGACCGAAGCTACAAATGAAGGAGTTCTCGATGTTGCAGATCTGTATTCGGAACGCTGAGATTTCTTCAAAGGTTTCTTCGTCTTGCTTCTAAAGTTTGTGGTTTGTGGTTCCTGCCTAACTGATCGCCGAACGGAGTCTACCGGGTGTCGTCGATGATGGGAGCAGCCACCTCAGCTTCAAGATCTGCGGGAGGACCGAATCGTTTGCCGCGCATTCCGAAGAACGAACCTGGTAAATTGACAGCTCATGAGTGAGGCCGATCGTGCGACATCGAAGAGAATTCAGTAGAGAATAGTTCTCGCTGAGCGAGCTGCTCACCTCTCTTTCCAGCCATGATTTGTCTTCGAAGCTCGGCGATGATTGTGTTGATATCTCCGTTCGTGCTCTTGAATTTTTTGCCTCGCATCGCGTGGAAGGGACTTGCTTTCTTCCCGCGCATCGCATGGAAAGCCCTCTTCATGTCCAAATCCCGCAAAGCGTTGACATCTCTCCAGTCGACGAGACTTTCGTCGGCGGGGCCTTCGAGGTATTGAGCCTCTGAGCCCAGAATCAACAAACCAGCGGCCGCGACCACGGCAATGACGCACCAAGGACCACAGTACATGGCCTCTGGAAAGAAAAATAAAAACTACATTAATTCCTGAGGGATTCCTCCAGAGAGCCTGCCCCAAAAGTCATAGGCTTCACACCGGACTCAGCTTCCCCAGAAGGATCTCATGGCCATGCGCTGGAAAACTCGCCCAACTTCAAATCATCTCATTACATAGACGCGAACAGAGTGCTCGTAGCGTCGAGTCCCCATCCGAAGCCGATCTCGAGAGGAATCAATTTGCAATCCATTTGCTGTGTGTCCGGGGGTACGCGAATGAATATTCGTCTCTCGGAGAGGGCTCTGTGACATCGATGACGTTTGAGGCTCTGATTTGTTATCACTGTAGAACGGAGTCCGACCCCGGGCGATGCGCTAAGCAACGACACGACTAGTGTTAACGAATCGAGAATCGGGGCAAGCAATTGGAACCAGCGACATTCACAGTGGAGAGGAGTCTATCGGAGATGCTCTTCTGGGGAAAAAACTGGCTGATTCTGCCATGGCTCGCGAGGGTCAATACATGAAATGCGACTCAGCTGTGAAAAAAACCTATTCTGCTCTCAGTTCGGGATTTTCTCGAGAGGATGACGTCTTCGTCAATATTTGGAGACTTTTCCCTCCTCAGCTCTCCCTGGCCCGCCACGTGAGGTCTCACTGGGCTCCGGCCCAGACGCCAGGCGCTGCCGCTAGGTCAATCATAGCCTAACGAATCTCTTCCGGCCCCCGCCGGCTTCAACAGAAATCCCCTCGCCCCGGCTCGATCTGCGCACGTTGAATGCTCCGAAGTAGCAGACTACCCTACACGAAGACGACATGTCTATGCAACACTGCTCGTGACGTCCTCATCGTTTGGACCGCTCAGCTGTTTTGTCGCTCAGATATCTCGTCTCTGCTCTCGTCACCGATTCCGAGTTCGAGGTGCGTGTTCTCGGACGCAACGATCGGGCGCCATGGGGAGTCACCAACTACGGGGAGGTCCTGGGCTCGGTTTCCGAGGCCAGCCGATTCCTCGCGGAGAATTAGAGTCCTCAATCGACAAGCAAGCTAATGGGTCCGATTCGGGACTCTCGAGTCCGCGATAACCCATCCCGCCGCTGCTGGCGTAGAAATTATCACGGTAAACGGCGGCAGGTGTCAAAAGGTGTAAAAGGTCAGAAGGACTCCATGCGTGAAAAAATCGTACGAGAGAGCCAGAGCTGCGACGCGCGGTGCTATCGACGCTCGAGAGGCTGCAGCATGCTTGACTTGGTCGGCCTTCTGTTTGCTCCTCTTCTTCATGCTAGTCCGAGTTCACGAGGGCCCTCGGGTGGACCCCGGCGACTCCGATTGAATTGTGACGACGTTGCGAATAATGGTCGATAGAATGTCATCTGCGCGTATCTCACCGAGACCCTCAGCGTGTTCTCCTAAGGAGAACGCGAGTTAAAGAAGAGGAGGAGAGGGGAAAAACATGCTTTCTTCCCTGCCTCGTTTGAGGAACGAGCACTCACTGTGGACTCCGTCCGCGGACGTGGAGCTTAGGACGAGTTCTGAGACTCAAGTCAGTGTCCACTTCGTATGAAGTGCGCTTTTCGCTCGAAGCATATTCCGTTTTAAAGTGCGTGCTAGTGGAGAGATAGAATCCTCTACAGCTCCGAACTCGAGACCGGCCTCTTCAGCTCGGAGACGTTCCGAAATTCTGAAGAGATTGACCCGAAATCCCAATAGAATGAGCTTGAGCGTGTTAAAGTGTGAGACCCGCTGACTTACTCCACCTGGTCCCCTTTGCAATAGCTCCTGAAGCTCGGAAACATTGACGAGCGAGAAAAACTCCTTGGAAACAGCCACTCATCCAAATCCTTTCATGGGCGCCGCCCACACAGCATCACTCGAATGTCGCGTATCTAATCGCGTGGAAAATGAGGTTTGAGCGCTCCGGCTTCATGACCGACGACCGCGAGAGCGGCAGTCGGAATTCAGACCGAAATCTCGAAGCGGATCCCTCATGAGAGACCTCGAGGTGGAGTTCACCGACTCATCAAGTTCGCAAGTTCATTGCAGGCAGTCAAGTAGGAAATCGCCGCGCCGTCTCCGTCGATCAAAACGAGTGGGGAACATTTCTCGCCGAGGTGAGGGGAGACTGTTATTCACTCAAGTATGGTCTGCCTCAATTAAGCTCGCATCTTCGAGGCTCGAGTTTCCTGGAAAAACTAGTTCTTTGCACCCAGCAAACGGTCGGCGTGCGAACATTAGAGAGTTTTATGTTTCACTAATGACTCGTGAGGTATCCTAAGAATAATGCGCCAGGCCCAGCGATGCCTTGCCCAGTTCCGTTCCGACTCGTGTAGAGCGAAAGCCTCACAGATTTTGAAAACATCCGACGTATCGCCCACGGAATGTGAATTCCTCTCAGGTAGTCGGGAATCTCATCGGCTTCCGCGTGATGGAGTCCGAAGCAGCGTTCCTTGTCTCACGCGACCAAGACAACGAGATCGACCTCCTTGGAGCTCTCTCTAGCTCCATGGCAAGCTCACGATAGGACAAGCGAAGAGGTATCGCGTCCGATTCGCATTCCCCAGAGCAACGCTCCGCGGCATGTGTTCTCGCGGCGATGGTACGGAAATCCCGGATTGATGGTTTTTCGAAGAAGATCCCTCGACGAAGTTCATTATATGTATCTGCTCGGTCTATGCGACAAACAGCTCGGATGTTCGGCGCTCATGCGTCGCACTTTACACTCTTGCATTGATCGACTCGCTGTTGGAAGCCGGCTCCGGACCGATGAGTCGAAATGCAATCTCATCGCTTTATTGGCGACGTGCTTGGGAGCCGACTGGGATCCGGAGAAGCCATCCACTGTTCCAGGGGATCAGATCTCGTTCTGAGTCGAACGGAAGAGAATGCCAACGAGCAAAACTGAATCGAGACAAACCATATTTTCCACGAAATTCCCAATCATCGCGTCTGGGAGGACCTGCCATCTGCAGCGGCAATGGGGCATGCCGAGTGAAGGAAAGAATGTAAATCCTGCGTTCGTTGTGCCCACGTATGGCTCAGCGTGCCCCTACCCTTCATTTGCCCCTGTACCCTTGCTAATCCTTCACTGAATCAACTGTCTGCTCACCACTCAAAATGGGCGGACCAGGGTCGTCGAGCAATTCAACGAAACTAGGCCGACTAGCTCAAGCCATCAAATGCGTCCGTCTTCGAATGAGAAGCGTCCTCTGACGACAGGAGGTTTCTGCAGACATCCTAAGCAGTCGAGCGTCGTTCGGGACAGGGCAGGCCACCGCCGGTCGTTCCGCGATCTGTGGAGTCTTGGATAAATACTGACGGAATCTCCGAGTAGCTGTGTTAGCTAAATTCGCTATTTTAGCGGTTGTCGCATGGTCACGACCGGGGTTCCGACGCCACATCCGCGCCGAATGCAGACCCTGTAAATGGCAGCACTAAAAGCTCGTTCAGCTTCAGAGAAAAATCCTTCAAATTTACGTCCCGCCAGCACTGTGCCGGGTTCCTGCATGCCCGGCTGACAGCGCGTCAGCCGGTCTCCCACCCCGAAGCTAAATGAGCTTAAAGATCAACTCCGTCGCGTTTGCACTTAAAGAGGCTCGCTGCTTTCCAATCGGGCCTATGTGGGGGTAGGCAGGAGAGAACGCCAAGTTTCGACTCGGATTTTTGTTTTATCTGCTATAAACCCCCCCCCTCCGGTTAGATCTGAGTCTCTTGTTCACCATTCCTCCTCTTCCGCCCAATTTTTTTCATTTCGTCAACGCCGAAATCGTTCGGTTTTAATCATTCTGCTGGCGCGAGCTAGCTGGCAGAAGAAGGAGTTGTTTTTTCAAACTGAATGCGAACTATGATGACACTCAACTAAGGGACACGACGCTATGATTTTCTTTCTCATCTCAATCGTAATTGTGGGATCACCGAGGGGGAAATCTGGACGGGACTGATACGATGCGGGATCATTGGTCGTATGAGCCTACAGATCGGCAACTATCGAAATTCCCGAGAGGGATGGACATCTCGTAACATCAAGGATTGGACGAAAGGATCTTCGTGGCCCCGCGGACCCTGCAGCGGATGACCCGACCATTCCGTCGGGGAAATTCCTGCTCGCTTCTCTATTCCCAAGAGCGTCGATTTGCGACAAAACGGCATGAATGAGCGAGTTAGCTGAAGATGAATTAAGGCTCCAGGTTTTGATGGCATTCAGCCAAGTCTCAGCTGGAAACAGATTCGGTGACGCGTAATTCTCGACGACTACGCTCACGCTTCGCACAAAGTGTATAAATAGAAGCTCAGAATGGGGGGCGATTGTGATTGTCTGTCAGCTCATCTGGAAGTGGAATCGATCGCGACCACACGAACTAATTGTACGGATTCGGCGGGAGCGAATTTTCCCACAGTGGTGAACGCAGCCAAGTAATCATCTATGCGCAACCCGCAGAACCGAGCAACGACTGCCGGGGCGGCTGCTATTATCAGCGATCGCAAACCCTCAGCGCCCGCTGACTGATGGGAAGAATTTTGTTATTTAGTTCATCGAAAACATTCTCCGTGCGCAGATGCATGAGCGACGGCAGCGGCACGAGCTTGTGAGCGGACTCGATACCTAGAATCCGAATGAGGAATCTCGTCTCAAAAAAATCGCCCGTCGAGTCATTGCCGTATTTTGCCGGAGATTCAGGAATCTTTTTTTTGTCTGTACACGAGTGGAGGTGTTTCCGATAAAAATCAGTCGTCATTCTCGTCAGTCATTACGTCATTGCGTAGCTCGAATGGTTTTGGCGAACAGTACAACCTCGCTCGATAACGATTATACTCAATTTATACGAGATACTTTCAATCCGGACATGAGCTCTGGGACGGGAAGAAACGCGAAAATCGTCGGAGACATCGCTGAGGGCTTTCTCAACGGGCTATTGCGTCCGCACTTCCGAAATACGTCCTCTGTAACCGATTTGGTAAGAATGGGAAGAGGAAGGCTGGGATCGGGATTCCAGTCTCTTGTATTCTGACGTTTGTTATCGGG